TTTTCGATCCCCCCTCACCCTTGGTGATACGTTGTAATATTCGAAATTACCCTCCCCTCCCCCTACACATCACCTGCTTTTTTAGTTACAAGAAAAAATTGTAATTTTTTTAATTTTTTTGAAAATATTTGGATTTTTTAAAAAAAAAAATTAGGTCAAAAATAAATACACGTGATTTCTTACTATACCGTGATTTTTTGTCAAACCCTCCCTCTCCCTTAAAACCTTACGTGATTAATGAACAAACTATATATATAGTGAGTCTTTTTATAATATTACTAGCTGTACCCATTCACGCTTTGCCTTGATTTAGTTTAAATTAAAAAGTTGAAAGATGTAAATTTGTTACATTTAGTTTAACGTTACTACTATCTGTTCAACAATTTACCTATTCAACAATTTGTCTACGAATTTACATATAAACTTGTAAATCAATCTATCATTTTACCGACTTACGAATTTACCTGTCAACTTATTTACCTTTCAACCCGTTTCACATGTCTACCAATTTACTTGTCAACCTGTTTATCCGTCTTGTTATTTGTCTGTCTACCAGATATCCTGTCTACCATTTTACACATTCTCCAATTTACCTGACCACCAGCTATCCAACAAATTACTTTTTCACCAATTTACTTGTCCACCAATTCACCTGTCTATCAATTTACCTGTCTACCAATTTACCTATCGACCTGTTTATCAATCTACCATTTTACCGGCCTACAAATTTATCGCACATATCTACCAATTAATCTGTCAACCTGTTTATTTATCTACATAATTCGTCTATCTACCAGTTCTTCTCTCTACCATTTTACATATCTTCCAATTTACCTGTCCACCAGTTTACCTTTATAAATTCTCTAATTCACCTTATCTATTTGCACATTATAAACAAGTTAAAGCTCAAATTGATTCCACGTTTTAGTTAGAAAACGTTTGTATGTGAAAAAGAAAAGGGCTGTTTTTAAAGTTTTTCCGGCAATTATTCGATTTTGTCTCACCGTAAGAACCATCCTTGGACTTCAACAAACATTTTAGAAAAAGAATCGGCCAAATTGGTCCAGGCGTTGTTGAGTTATGCGCTTACCAACACATTTTGCGATTCATTTTTACATATAAGAAGAAGATTTCTATGTTTAGCTGTACATAGATAATAAAATAGTAAGTAATTTTGAATCTAGATTGTTTCTTTGGATATGACTTTACAAAACAAATATTTAATAAGTATGGTATTCGTGTGATATATTTTGAACAGCAGTACTCCTAGTTCAGACAGTGCTACTACTTCTCTCATCAAGAAAGTAACAATTATAACTATAATAATTATAAATAACATATAATTAAGGGTATGGGAAGAAAATGGCTTAAGCTAATGATAGATGATCTGATATGCAGCTAGACCTGCCGCTTCCTATGTGGCACATTACACACAACTACACACTAAGGTGACCCAGGATTGTTGCCCATGGGACTTGTATGACTTCTAAACATGACTTAAGAGACTACCTGCTAAGTAACTAACTAACAAGAGCTATTTTCAGTTGGAAACATATTTTTGATCAGTGATTTGCTCATCACTACTGCTTGATATCGTAGTATTTGAAATCAAAACCTTGGGATAACCAATGTAAGGTTCTGGTCTGGTCTAGCCGAGTTTGAGCTGGATCTGAAGCCTAGATCTAGCCAACACTGGCTACCCAAGTATTGACTATCCAGTATTGGCTCAATAATCTAGACATAAAACATATTTTTGATCAGTGATTTGCTTATCACTACTGCTTGATATCGTAGTATTTGAAATCAAAACCTTGGGATAACCAATGCAAGATTCTGGTCTGGTCTAGCCAAGTTTGAGCTAGATCTGAAGCCTAGATCTAGCCAACACTGGCTATCCAAGTATTGACTTTCCAGTATTGGCTTAATAATCGAGACATTCTCAAAATCATCCAAGAATGACCAAATATTATACATTTATTATATATTTATGAATATTTTAAAATCCATATATATCGATATGGTAATGTTGGTCCAATAATTGAGTACTGTTCAGATATGATTTATCCAACTTTGGCGAAGGTTTTCCAATGCTGAACGAACCGTCTAGTCATTGCGCAGAATAAGTCCGGTACACCGCAGCACACCTACGGCTCTTATTATGTCACGTGCCGCGGACCAATTCGATTGTGTTGGTGCGACATATACTCATGGGCGACGCCAAAGAGCGAATTTGTCATGCATTTTATCGAGCTGGAAAATCACAAGAATTATATAACATAATATGATAATCATTATTAATTTGTATTGTTTCAGTTTATGATACATCATATCTTGCTTTATTTATTATGATTTAAAGGTGTGGAGTAGACGACTTCCCATTAAGTGATGATTGCCGAAGAGAAATTAAATTAATGATAGTACTCTTTATACTCAATGTGACGAATACTGAATACAGCATTATATTGTTAATATAGCTTAAATGTCTTAATAAAAACTTAGTAATTTAGTCATTCCGTTGTATGTAGTAGTCTACCACTGGTAGAATTAGAATTATCACAAGAATTTATGTATTAATTCTGCAAAAAATGATAAAAAAAAGAATCTGATTTTTTGATTTATACCTTATACTGTAATAAGATTTTGTTTACAAAATAATAATTATTGTAATTAAATAAATGGATCAGCTTTGCTAATGGTTTTAGAAAGATTTATCAACAGTTATATATATTTATATATTATATATTGGGCATATGATTGCTTTCGTATTTTAATTTAATTTAAAAGAAAATCTTTTTCATATTGAGTTGACGTTTATTGTGTCATTGTTTAGTTGCCTTATGATTAACAATTACTAAAATTTCACTTTTTTTATTAAACATTTTTCAAACATATCCTTGGTGTACGAATAACCCGCCTAGTTGCCTAAGTCGTACCTACTACTAAAACACGGTATAGAATTCAGTATGGTAGCTACTTTTCTTCACATATTAGTCACCAAGTTGAACATAATGATTAAAATAACATCCAATATATGAAATAATTAAAAAAGTAATCAATGTTCTTATGAAATTATTGTCAAAGGGGATGAAACTGTTCTTGAAGATATAGTACCGTATTTGGTTACACGAAATACGATTCTCAAATAATATAACTGAAGTAATATAACTGAATATTATTAAGAGAAAAATGTCAGGATCATATTCTTGCACAATAGCCTTGCAATTGAACCAAAAATTTTGGTTTGAACTTTACAAAAAGCTTACTTTCTAACTACTTCCATTTTGCAAATTGGCCTGCCTTTCAATTGTAAATTTAAGCTAGCTTAAACAAATAGTTCAATTTATAATTTATAATTATCAGACAAAATACAACCGGGGTACGACTTGAGCAACCTTACTCTACATGTCTAGATACATTTTTATTATATTATATTATGTATAGATTAATCACTTCTTCAATGAGAATGAGTAGAAACATAGAATATTCAATTAATTCCATTTAATTTTGTAATGTAAATTCAATACCCCTGACACCTGTATTTCAGAACATCCAAAATCATATTGAAATATACCATACATATCGGTTGTATAGATTTCAAAGGTAGTTAACACAATAAATGACAATCAGTTTGTTGAATAACATTCTAGATCTCAATCTATAATTTATCTAAATAAATGTTACAATCTATTTCTTAGCATTTGTTACCATAAGACTATTATCAGATAAACGGTTTATAATGCAAAATTATTTCATCGAAAAAATGCAAATAATGATTTGCAAATAATGATCTTGCATTCTGGTCTCCATTTGTAAGGGTTTATTATTGAAATTGAAAGTCACAATCAGTGAACAAGCATAAAATATTTAAACAATTTCGTAACAAATTGACGAAAAATAATTAATAATATGAATACAATATATAAATTGAAAGAATATAATATATAAAATTTGTTCACTAAATTGTCACTAAATGCTTGGTTAAAAAATTAAATGAAGATTTAATTAATTTGAAGAAATGAGTGATAGTTATATCAATGATTTAAACTTCTTCAAAATAAATTCAAGTTTGAACTTTGCAACACGAATTATGCATGAATTTTCAAATGTACCTAATTATGCAATGAAAGCATTCGTACTTTATTTTTGGAAATAAAGTTTTGAAAAAAGTTTGATAATATTATTCTAATTAAAGCACCACCTAATGTTAGGCATTATATTAGATAGAAATTAAAAGTAGCTATTTAAAAAATAATTGCTTCATAAATATCCGTTTCAATTAATACATGTATTTGTATGCATAACAGGCATTATAAAAACACTAAACAATAAAACTCAATAATAAAAACTATATCGACAAAATAATGACGAAATTATGTAGTAAGACAAGAATATAAACGCAAAAGTCGCGTGTTGTTCTGGTCATGATAGTTGTAAGAACTTGTTTTACAAAGCCGCAATTTGTACAACATATTTGCCGGATATCCATTGGAAAATTAATAGGTATTTTTTGTCTTTAATAACTTCTTAGAACAGAAATGAATTTGTATTTATATAATACTATAAGGAAAATGTATATGATTTGCAGAATTCCTAGTAAAATATTTCTTTCAAATATCTTGCAACTTGACGAGAAGTTTTTATTGGAAGTTTGGAATTTATTTTTAGCTAATCGAGTTATATGAACAATTAATTCCTGCGATCATTGGAAAATCTGCGTAAATTTTTTTGCTGATTCAGATAACTGTTAAATAATTATTCTAATAATCCACTTTTAAAGCTCTGAAATTGATACTGAACTCTTAAGTACAAATACTTCAACAAGCATTTTAAAATTATAGGTTTGAAAGCAACGATGTCATAAATTTTCAATTTTGATTTTAATTCGTTTAAATTATATGCTATTTTATTTGTTAATACGATTCTATTAGATTTTTCTTAAATTTTAGGTCAAATCAGAATATTACATTGTCAGTTATTAACGATGATTTTATTTATTCCAGATGAACTTTTGGAGTTTCTGCATTTTATTGATAACAGTACACGCAGTGCAATGTTCACCACTAGAACAAGTTTCCAGCGAAAGCCAAATGGCAACTAGCACTAGCAGAACAGATAAAAAAACTGCTGCAGCAGCGAAAGATGATGAACATACAAGCGCCAGCAAGAACACTCTAGCGGATCAAGTTGCCATGGGCAAATATGGTCTAATTCAGAAAGAAATATTCTCAGCTCCTAGTCCGAGACCCGGAGTTTTGAGCTATGCAGCCAATGAAGAAGTGCCCAAAGATTTACAGGTATAAAATTCAATTGCTCGACTCTTAATTTGACCAATCGATTTATTACGATATCGAGTATCTAAATGTACGGTTGTTCAAATATCCATTTAGAGCACAAAATTATTATTGATAAAATGATGGATATTTGGGTATGCATGTTGTTACATCGTGTTCGTAGTACATGTTAGAAATCATCATGCAATAATTTTATAAACTATTATAGCTGTTCAAAATTACGTTCATTCATTTTCAATTATTTATTTCCTATTACAAAGTTCAATAAAAATATTTTCAAATGTTTTCATTTGGTCTTGGATATAATAAAGTTCTTATGTTGTATCCAATTGAATTGAAAATAATCGTTTTATTAAAAAACTTAAACTTTTTAATGTAATATCGGAATGTGCTAATTCACATTTTTTAAAATAAGCAGAAATATGATTATAGATACAAGACTGTTTAAATTGAAATCAATTAATTAATTTAATTATAGACAAATTTGGGCGGGCTAGAGGCCGACGATATTTGGCTCGCAGAAGATCATCTACTCGTAGTTCGCGGGGGTGCATTCGATAAAAAACAACCTCAGGGCGCAGTTTGGCCTCCTATCGATGATTATGAGGCTCCATTACGACAAGTAAAAATACCCGCCCAACCCGCAGTTCCACCGCCCTTTCTCGTGCAGCTTAAACCAGATGGCCCAATCGAATTCATCGGTTACAACGGCAGCCGCGTGGTCGCGTTGCAGCCGCCTGGCGCGGCATCACCAGGCCAGGGATCGTTTGCTCCGGTTTTTGGCACGCAGAAACCCCTCGCAGGGGTTGGGTACAACCCGGGACAAATCCCTCACTATCTCACCCCGTATCCGAGAAACCTTACTTCCGGGGAAACGCCGTTCCCTATTCCTCCATTCCCTTTCCCACCGACAGGCCCGTACCGCCCCTTAAACGACAGTTCTCTTGCAGACAACAATGTAACGGACTTGTACGACGAAGACGATCCATCTGTTTACTATCCGCCACCTTACTCCTTTTATTATCCTATAGATGAAAGCAAACTAGCACGTGCAGGTCCGCTAGTGCCAGGAATTATATTACCGCCACCGCCGGACTTCTTTGCTCCGTTGGAAGAAGATACCATTACTCGCAATGATTCAACTACTCATAAGCCTACTGAGCCTCCACGAACAGAACCACCTATTTCTGCAAACTTTCCAAATACTTACTTGCCCGTTCCTGCGCCTGCGCCTGCCCCTGTTTCCGTTCCAAATAAATATCACAAAATTCCACATTCGTATGATAATATTGTACCAATTCTTCCAGAAGTTTCGAAACCTCACGACTTTTATTACTATAACCCACAAAATCCAAAACATGTACAAATTAATTCACCTGGCGGAGTTAAATTAAAAACAACTTTGAGACCAGTACCACAAATAGGAAAACTTAAACCGGTGTATGATTATTACGAAGTGAATACCGTTACGCCACCAGTAAATTCATTCAAAGTATATGGCCCACCACCATATCCGGATCAACATCCAATAGTTAGACCCGATTTTGGAAGAACATATGTTAGCAGCACCGCTGTACCATTGCGTTCATTCTATGAAGTACGACAGCAGGAAGTACCTCGACCGAAAATACGGCCACAATATTATAAAGGTTCAAATAAACCTAGTGCTTCATACTTTTTCTATGAAGAGCCACCAAGTGAGCCACATGTTTCTGATGGATATTACGATAAGCGTTACTATAATAGCCCACAAGAGCACCAGCAATTTGTATATAATGCGTATGGTCTTAATCAATTGCCTAATAGGCAGCATGAACAACAATATTTATATAATGGCAATCCACCTGAAAACGTTCGCCCAATATATTATAGAATTCCTAAACCTATTTATCGTCCCACTTCCCATAGGCAATCATTTCAGCAACAAGTTGAAGAAATTCAAAAAACTTTGCATTATTATACAACTCAAAGTCCACGTTACATTTACAGAAATATTGATGAAAACGCTGCGAGATATAATCAAATTTTACCAGCAAAACAATCAGGTACTCCCAAACCAGTTTATCAATATAGTTTTAATGCTGTAGGATATGAAGATGGACAAAAGTCGTTTACGGCCTCGCAAATTCAAGATCCTAACAATGAACCATTTAGACCGATGATTTCATATGATCACGTTCCTTTAGTTTCGGATAATCAAAACGCCAAAAAACAATATCCACCAGTTACTTCAGAGACGCCTTTAGAAAGTAAATATATACCTCATGGTAAACAACAGCGCTACGAAACTGTAACTCCTTCAACTATTCTCAAACCACAATACAGTATTAGAAAGCCCCCATCTCATAATTCTATATCTACAACGCCTAATCCGAGATATAACACGGCAAATCCTCTGAATTCGAATTACTATACTCAACATGAAGAAGGATTATTTGATGAAATTACAAAGAAGTATTTTACCATATTTGGACAGAAACTGTACAACAGCAAAGGCTCAAATGAATTGGGAGTAACTGAAGCTTTAAGAGCAGGACCTGTTACAACTCCGATACCTCCAAACGATTGGTTACCGAGCTATTCCGTTCAAGAAAGTAGGGAAGTATATTCAGAACAAAAACGTAAGAACACTATATCAAATTCTGCCAATAAGAACGGGTTGCGAAATCAACAGCCTAATCGATCTTTTCAAAATCAGCCTTCGCATTCTTCCTTAGAAAGCGATACGCTGGTCAACTACTTGCGACCTAGACCCGAGTACAATGTTGAAAGTGAATTAATTTCCAACAACAGTGCAAGGAAAAATCAAGGTTACAACTCGATACGACCAAAAGAGTTGCAGCAATTGGTAAGTGTGCCTCAAAGGGAGCAATTGCCAAAGTCATTGGCTAGGGATGAATTAGTGAATTATAGAAATCCTAGACCGCCCTTGAATCCTGAAACTGAATTCATACCTATATCTTCAAAAAGGCGACCAGAAGTCGTTTCGTATGACCTGCCTGGAGACAGCGCACATGTGTACTTTTTGACACCTCAACGAAGAGGCGGGTATATTGCAAACCAGCAAACAAAAGTAGCTGAACCGATTAAATAATATAGTTACAAGATGATGTAAGGTAAATTTATTGAATGTGAAGTGTTTTTCAAAACTTGCCTCTCTATATTTTTCCTAATTCAGCCCTAAAAACTAACTTTCACTTTATGGTCAGTACATGCAAGTTCCAGAATTTTATCAATTGAATTATTTCGTTTAATATTCATTAAATTTATGAAAAAGTATCTTTGATAACAAAACGTCTAAATATTCATTCGTAATGATATAAATGCAAAATTTTACTTGAATTTAGTGGTAATTTTAACCCAGAGTAATGAATATTGAAGTCATGGTCGACACACAATAAATAACGTATGTCGACTATAGGCGACACTCGTAGAAAAAGAGTTAATTTTGAAATAATAGTGTAAAGTAAAAAAATTAAAAACAAACTGAAGGTTAAAAGGAATGTGACTGTAAATATTCTATTACATACTGATCATAATTCAAATCGTCAGTTGATATATTACTAATTACTACTATTACTATTACTTCTAATATGGACTAAATATTATTTCATACGTATGAAACGATATTTAGTAAATTGTTAAATTGTTAATTTTACAATGAAATGCAATAATTAAAATGCATCAAAACATAATCAAACAAATATCAAAAACGTACTTACACATATCTTTTTTACAATTACATCTAGGCAGTGGCGTCGGAACCAAATTTTTGATGGGTGGGCTCGTTTTTTTTGATAGACAGCCAGTGGGCTTGTTTTTTTTAGAGATATTAGTCCATATAATTTTTTCAATTGACTTAACCCACACAGCCCACACGGTTCCGACGCCACTGCATATAGGAATGAATGCTAGTGCCTTGTGTATTATCGATAATTTTAGTATTCCATATATTTTTACTATAAAGAATATATAGAATAGAATATTGTTATATAGCCTATTGTTTACTAAATTTTAATATGTATCATTAATAGTGTTAGACTTGTTTAATGAAAATGCTTATAGCGTTGGTATGATATTTAAATAATCTGGATTTGAGCATATTGTTGTGGATGATAGCTATAAAAATTGAACGATGGGAAACCAGCTTCAGACTTGAAAGCCTAGATTCTCATAAGTTTATCAACATAACGTGGATAATTTTAGTATCTCCTAAATTTACTATTTACAGTATTAATAAAACCTTCTTAGAAATGTATAAATGCTATATAGGGCCCCTATAGGGATTAACACATAAACTGTAAATTCAAAATCACCAATAATTGTTCTAACCTGTTATTAATAAACCCATTTTTACTCTTGCTGAATCCATTGGATGTAACCGCAGTGTACATTAAGATATGAAGGAATTTTAAATATTTTTAATAATAATTTTCAAAAATAATTACGCTAGTTTCCCATAGGTTTCTAACATTCTATTATAAAATGTGTTTCTGATATTATTAGGATATTTACTCATTTTAGAAGTCATATTATAGTAACGTAAGAAATTTAAATTTATATATTGTATTTGAAATAATTTTATTCCCACAATTTTTATATATTCATTAAATGCTCGCGATCATTTTTAAACTGAGTTTTATCTGATTTGATCATTTTTCTCATAATTGAGTATGTAATAAATATACTTATTTTGAATCTATATTTCTACGTAAATATGGTAACTATGATTAAATTAAACATCTTCTATACTTTAAATAATAAATTTTGTAAAATGCTACAAAATTATGTGAAATGATTTTGGGTAAAAATACATCTCACATTTTATATTTGATAGCATAGAATTAAACTATATCTATGTGTAAAAATGTGAGCTATTTTTACATTTCCCTCTAATGAAATAAGCATATTTATTAAGGTTCTTGAATAGTTTTAAGCTTCAATAGAAAAAAGTACTGTATCTGCACTTATTGACTGCTGAAGAAGGTAATATAGCAATTAATTTAGAAATTGAATCCCTCATGCCATTAGCCACTTTGCTATAACATTACGATGGGAATTAATCATGTTTGATTTATATATATACCGATATTTTTGTTGGTGAAGGTAATAACTTCTAAACTGTTATTTTAGTCAAACCACTTATATGTAACATTATCTTAATGTGCCTAAATAAATAAATAAATATAATGTGCTTCCCAACAAAATTAATTATAGTGTAAATCAAAATGATAATAAAATGTGGATGTGCAAATTAATCTGCATCAAGAAAATTGTGATGAACGTTTAAATTAGTTAATAAGAAATTATTAAATATATATTTTATACATTGTGATCTATATTAGAAACTATTTATATGAAATATTTAATGTGTAATTAAAATATATATATATAAATTTTAAGTATTCTAAGATAATGTATAAGAAATAACCTTATATAAGTAAGTGGAAATTAGAGATTTATGTTGAAAAATAAAAATATAATATATATTTAGTTATGTTGAAAATATATATAATTTATTTATCCGAATATCATGTGTTAGTCTGATAGATGAACTGTGTATAAACCTTATATTTTAAAAATTATAATAGGTGTTTGTTATATTTTTAAAATTGTAATATTGTAAATTATTTTAACTTTATAATAATAAAATTAATTCATATATGCCGTAGTTTTGAGATTGGGATTTAAAAAAATAAACCAGGCTTTAATACGTTTTCCAAAACAAAACGAAAAGACAAAAAAATTAAGGTTTTTTAATATAACAAACTTTAATAGGCAAATATAAATATAAAGTACACAATTTATTTCAACAATTTAAATTTCATTGTAATTATTAACATTATATTCATTAAAATAATGTTACACAACCACACTCTTAAAATCCTATTTCAAATAAGTATACTATTTTATTTCTAATTGTATATATTATTTATTTCTTTTTCTATTTCATTTCCATGTTTATAAATTAATGTACTCCTAACGAAAAATATAAATTTGTAAGTATTATTAACTTAACATATTAGTAATTATATTAACAGGACATTATGACCCTTTGGATAGGACCATTGTGGTCACATAAACAGCACTGGAAATCAGGATCTGCCATTAAATTGCTCTGAAATTATGTAGAAGTAATAAGATTTATGAATATCCTTTTATAAAATATTTTTCAAAATTGATATTAATAGTAATTATTAAACTTCTTTTCCCATGAAGATTAAACAAAATGAGTGATAATTGAAAATAATTGAAATGATCAATTATTGTTAATGTTAGTTGTTCACACCTGTAAGCAGTAGTAACAAAATACGTGTGAACAGCCCATGTGATGTGGATGTTTTATTCTCTCATTGCAAATAGGACAAAAGGTTGTTGTGTCATATTTTAATTTATCATTTGATTTTACTGTTTTCTTTTTTATAAATGGTAGATATTGTAAAACTTTTCTCCGTATACTGTAATAGTTGACAAAGGGAGCCACAAACATTATAAGTTCCTGCAAAAATATGTTTCTATATAAATATGCAAGTGTTGCTATATAAATGATAAACAAAACTTACAACAAAGGCTGCCCAAATAAGTTCCCTTGTCATATGAGAATATCCAATACTTCTTATTTTATTACCGACCATGGACACATGTCTTAAACCCAAAATATATTCTAGAATACTTGGACTTCTTCCAGTTTTTAGAAATCTCCAAAAATTTATTAACTTGGCTACTGATAAAGCTATATCGATATTAGTTATGCTATTTTGAACAAACTCGTTTGATGCATAGTTGTACAATAATTTTGTTTGAACATATTTCAAAAATACACTAATTATATAGTGCAACAATAATTTATTGTCGGTCAAAGATACATCATCATATTGAATAGAAAATAATTGTTGGCCGAATAAGGCGTTACTTTTTTTAATAGAGTATTTCCACAATAGTGTGTTCAGTATAAAATCAATTTCTGGTTCATATTTGCTTAAAGTACCGGGCTGTAAGTATATTGTATATTTATAAACTATAAATAAATACATTAGATATAATTATGTTACTCACAGAAATATTAAGAACGGCAGACGATAATAAATTTCTAAAGATGCGTCTTATTTCTGTATCAAATTGATGAGCATCTAGCTATAAACAATCAAACAAATTATTGAAATACTATTATTAAAAGCATTTTGATGATAATGTTTGTAACTTGTACCTGTGTTACTCTTGGTACAAAGTCTACTTTTACAGGTTTAGACATTATAAATAAAATACACTAATATTTAAAATAAATGGGATTTACCAATCAAATTTCATTCACTACATTGTAAGGAAATAAAAAAAAATATTTGCAGTTATGGCATAATTGAAAGAAATTTTTAAACCGCCTATGTTAATGTTTACATTGTTTCCAAAATAAGGAAATGAAAATGACAATGACAGCTGATCAAACTGTCAAATTCATGCACAAAAGCGCCTCTATCGGAATTTCAAAGATATAGCTGGCTCTTGATTTAACTTGTCATAAAATTGTCAAATATTGACAGCTCGATTATTTAGGAAATAAAGAACAATGTCCATTAATAACATGTCATGTGGTCAAAGAACGTCAAAACAATAATTTTGTATAATATATACCATGCCCCTGTACATATTTTTTAAGTAATGGAAAAATTAAGTAAACCAAAAAAGGTATCACTAAATTTTAAAATATTAATTTAATTAAAATTTAAATATATAATAATACGTTATTTTTAAGAAACAAGGAACTAAAGTCAAATATTCAGAAGGTGACTTAGCTAAAACTGTTCCATCTGCTCCGACCCTTGCAGACTTTATAACTGATGAAGTTGAAGGTAATTTATTGATAAATTTTAAATTCGATGTTGAATATCGAATATTAATAATAAAATTTACACAGAAATATCTAAAGAATCAAATGAAGAACAACCATATACAAATGATATTACTAAAACGAAAGAATCAATTAATGAAAGGGAAACTGAAGATAATAAAAATGAAATTTGCACAAGTAATAAAGTAGTGGAAGTTTCTACTGAAGTGTCCGCATCAACAACTATAATTAAGACAGATAAATGTAGTTCTTCTATAAAAACTAAACAATCGGATACTTTATATCCAGAATTGACTGATATTAAAGACTTATCTTCCCTAAAGCTTAGTAGTAAACATAAAGACAAAAATTTAGAAATTTTATCTATAGACGAATTTTATGAAAATGATGATAAAAATCTTCTTACAAAACATGCCAGAAGTTATATGTACAAGTTCTTAAATGAACATGACAAAGTTGCTGATAATGATTGGTTTTATTGTATGGTACAACAATATTTAAAATCAACAATTGAATTAACCACAATTAAAGACAGAGTATTGGAAATAAATGACCATTGCTCTAAATTGAGATCAAATGTGTGGTCTATTGAAAATGCTGTTGCAACAAAAAATAGTGTCTGCAAAGATAATATAAATGTAACAGCTTCGTTTGACTTTAAGATAGCTAAATTGCAGCAATCTATTTTAGTTGATTTGGAACGCAATTCAAAAAAATTGAGGGATTGCTGTCACAAAGATTACATCAATTTTGCACATAAAAGTCTTCTATTAAAATTAAAGGTATGGATTTCATTATTATAGAAGAAATGATTTATTAAGTTCTTGCATTATGAAATAATAATTGAATGTTATAGTTCTATCAATATTTGCAAAATTCTGTATAATTTTAAATAAATAATTATATGATTCTAATTTTTAGATCCAACATTATGTTACATTAGTTACCAGTTCTTCCAAAAAAAGTGAAACGGATGTCTTACATATTAAACTATGTATATCCACTTTATTTCATTTCATACGTAAAAATCACAACGAACTACTATTCATACAAGAAATAAGAACATGGTTAGATATATTTGTAGACTATTTCTTGAACTCTGATGCATGCGATAAGGAAATATTTTTATTAAATCATATTCTCAGGTAAGTTTTTATAATTAAGTTATTATTCCTAAAAATGAAACATTATGATTTTTTAGATGTCCGCCAGGAATTTCATGGACAATAAAATATTTTCAATGCCCAAAACCTGCCATAAATAATAAAAATTATTTTTTTAATTACGATGCTCAACTGTGTTTAACATTGTTATATACTATTCTTTCACCAATTGAAAAAAGAGATGCTTTTTTGAAATCTGTAAGTAAAAGCACTATTTATAATTATTGCCAGCACTAAATTTTTAATATTTTAGGATAATGCAGATCTTAGTTCTGCATCAAAAACAATATCAACTTGGATATTAGTTGATTCAGATGGAGAAGATGACTTGGCTAGTGAAGTACGTCCTCTAAAGGAATCAGATATTAAATCTTTAATAAACCAGGTAGGTATTAAAAGCATTGTAATTACTTTTATTGAGCTATATATTGACATTTGAATCATCTATAATTTTTTTAAAATTTCAGATACCATTTGAGCAATTTTTTGCTTCCATATTAATTTTCAACAAGAATACGAGTAATTTAGATTTAGATGAATTACATACTCAATTTTTGGGTTTTATCAAATTTTGTACAAATACAGTATACATTCTTAGTTCTGGTTTAAAAACTTATAATATAAGCAGGTATGTTTATAATTATATTTTATATTATACTGTGCGTGTTTTCTCCAATAATATATAAAAATATTTTATATAATTAGATATTCAACATTAGCCATGCTGCTTGGTAGACTAATTAAACATACCTTGGATTATGTGACAGAAGAATTTAAGATATACAGGTAAGTATTTTTATACATAGATTTTTCAAGTTATATTTACTTAAATTGTGGTTTGATATAAAATAAAAATCTTGTGATCGAAGATTGTCATATAAAAAATCTCATTAGTGTCATAAAAAATGATTACTAGAAGTTTTGTATAACTAGTTATTGTATTATATATTATATGATTAAATTTTGCTATAGCCTTATATTGAAATAATTTTACTTTATTGTTAGTATGCCGGTAAATTCTTTTCACCAAATAACAGTATCAAAATATTGCTTTGCCATGAATTTTATGGTAATTAAAAATATATAAAATAACAAAACTAATAATTAAAATATGAAAAATTTTGTATTGCATAATATGTTCTTTTACATAGTTCACAAGGTTTCAACAAACCAGTAAATGAAGACTATGATTCATTTTGCATTCGAGTGGCTCAAAGTATATTGTGGTCTAACAATGCTTGCAAATGGCAGATTTTGAGTACAATTGCGTGGGAACAAGTTTCTGTGAGAGCACTGTGGTGTATATTTGATCATTTTTATAACAATTCAGAAGAAAAGAACTGGATTCAACATAGTAAACAAGTACCTGGTATATAATTGCACTTAAGTTTATTTTTTTTAAATATATTTTATGATTTAAACAATATTTTTAAATTTCAGAATATGAAGAGAAATACAAAGATGAGGATGATTTATTGATTACAGATAGAATAAATAATTTAACTGAAAATGAGCAATATTTCTTTCTTCATACACTGTCAAATATGATTGCAAATAGATCATTAACTGATTCTGCTTTTATAATCAAATTAGTAAATGTGATGCTAAAAGTAGGCAAATAATATATATTTATATAATTCGTAATACAGTAATTCTGTTTAATGTATCATTTAATATTTTGTTTTCAGGTTGGTTTCAGTACACCAAATTCATCCAATAGCAAATGGACACGAATTTATATAAGTTCAGTGTGTGAACAATATTCTGATATGGTCTCATTTATTATATCTAGGGTCATGGTTAGTGAAGTTACTTTTCAGAAGACTTTTTTATAAAGATAAAGACTAATATTCATTTTACAGAGTAATTTGCACCCTTCAGTTGCTTTATATTTGTTTAAAGAAATCAATCTTCAGAACTGGAAATTACAACAGAATGATGTAGAATGTATAAAGTATTGGTTATTGAATTTTGATACAGATCGCGCTGAAAATAAATTAGCAAGACATTTATTAACAAATATTAATTATGGAATTGACAGGTAGTTTATTAATATATGCATATATTTACATATTTTTCTACATATCTGAATTATTACCTTATACTACTAAGTTATAACTTACTGTCAACGAAAAAAAAATTATAACTTACTACATTTAATTATTTAATAAAATTAATAAATGTCGATTCTATATTTCTAACAAAAAAAAATTTAAGTTAAATCTATTGTAGGAGAATTAATTTTTTCCTTTGATAAAATGTAACCTTAACTTGTTATTTTTGCAGTCCTAAAACTTTCTTATTGCTTGTAATTATAATTATGTATTACTTTTTATAGTTCAAATGGTAAGCATTTTCTGGATATTGCTTTACATTTTGAAATTGGACTCATAGTTGTTAAGTCATGCTTGATGTATGATAAAAATATGATGCAAAAGAACAAAGGCTATATAACGGAGGGAATAAAACATGTAAGTCGTATGTTACAATACACCACTATTATTATTTCTGATTTATTTTTTGTGTAATCAAATGGTATACAATATTTGAATTTGAATTTGACCTTAAGTAATATATAAAAAATATGCATGAATTTACTTCACAGGTTACAAATTTGGTATGGTCCACTGGCACAGATGATTACCAGAAATGGTGTTTCAAAATTTTACGAAAATTGAAGATTCATTGTCTTAGTCAGTCTGATGAAATTTGTAAAGCGTGTTGTCTTCCCTCTAGGGATCCCTTAAAAAATGTTTATGATATAGAAGAGCTTGAAGATATTGTACAAGGTATTAATATCGAGTTTTTAGATTCAGCTATTTTAAATTTTAAGTAGTTTTATATAAATTGTAGTAAATTTTTAACATTATCTATGTATTTAAGGAGTGAATGATAACCATCCAGTCGCTTGTTACTTTGCTTTGCTAGCGACAACCTGTGGTCATAGCGTCCCCATCATTCATAGCAAAGGCTTGAATCAAATCAAAATATTAAGCCAGTATAATGAACATGAATCTGTTATTCATATATTGAATTTAATAGTACCTTTATTTTTGGATTGCTCAGAAGAATTGATAGACAATGCCATGTAAGATCTTGCTGTTATAATAAATTTCTTGCTTGGCGAATACAAATAATCATTATTAATTTATTACAGATTTACTGATATTTTGAATAGCTTAGTTAAACAACCATTTACTAATAAAATTTTTGGAAGTAGTGGAGAAATTTCAGAGATATCTAGTTTGTTTAATAATATGATCATGCATCAAATAATGTCATTTTCAAGGTATAAAAGCATAAAATATTTATAATATTGTGATAAATTGTGAAAAATAATAATTTTAGGTATGCATTATCCAACCCAAGCAGGTTGATTGTTTTCTGGTTAAAGTGCATTTTCAAACTAGACTGGAATAATTATTGTGTAACATATATTTTAAATAATTTATCACAAATGGTCTTTGTTTTTCCAAATTCTCAGGCATCTGCTGATGAATTTATCAAGTCTATATTAATGGTAAAATAAACTATTTTTATCTATTAAAATATCAAAATTATATTAATAAACTATACAATTATTATTATATGTTAATGTTATAAATTTATCAATGTTTTTTTTTTTTTTGTAGAATCCATCACCTGAATCGAATACACTTTTCAAATGGATTTATCCAACAAATAACATACTAACATATTCCAATTTGCAAGCACCATGGTTTGAAAAATTATTACTCCAAATGAAACATTATTTAACAGAAAGAAATAATAATTTGTGGCAGGAAATAGTAGAACAGATTAATATATATGAAGGAAAATTGATTGTTGAGAAAGCAATACAGGTAAACTAGGTAAACTAGAAAAAAGCAATAGGTATAATTTTTAGCACTATTTAATTGATCTTAATTATTATCATTTTCATAATTCATCAAATATGATACAATTATAATAATTAAGCAAATGATAAATTATATTTCTTTCTATTTACTTAATGCATAACAATTACAAACATAATTTTCGATCACTATAAATGAGTATTATACTACAATTTAAAAAATAAAATAAAAATATTGTTGAGAAAAAGTTTTACAATGCTTATTAATATCAATAAAATTAAAATTGATGCAAATATTATTTTAAGTCTTTTAAATTGAGAAATGTTTTTGATATATTTGTTTAAATATTATTGAACAATTTTAGAAAGCTGCAACAGTCGTGAATGTTACAACAAATAGTAAACAACTATGTTTGTATCGCTGGGCTGATATGGGTTTGACAATACCGATTGACCATCCAATATCACCTTTAGTTTGGCAACAATTCTTTCATTTGCTATTGGAAAGAATTAAAATATCTAAGTATGTTAAATATTTTATTAAAAAATTAAATGCATATTATATCTAATTATTTAATCATTTTTGTTTCATTTAGTGGAAGAGTTTGTTGCTTTGGTTTAAATTTTTTATCAGATAGTAATGTAAATAAGAAAAATTTACTAGAACACTTTGAAAAGGCTCAAAAACATTTTTTATCATGTGTAATGAATTTGCAAACTGAATATACAGAAAGTAATCCCAATGAAGTAGCCAGAAATAAGCTACAAGTTTATCACAATCTAAGTAGGCAAGTACCTTATACAGTTTAACGGTTTACAGTTTTCAGTTGTTTAATTGTTATACAAAGAAATTGCAAATAATTACAAAAATTTACATTTTAGATTATATGGACTCTTTAAGAACTGGTTAAGTGATAGCCGGGTTTTTGATGCTAATTTTGATCAATCTAATTTAGCATCAAATTTAGAACCAGCATTGCTTTATGCATTTATGACTAATGATAGTGTAAGTATCTCATATTTCTCCTGATATCTGGTTTAATATATATATATATATATATATATATATATATATATATATATGTAATAATAGATATGTTCATTTTATTCACATAATTTAAATATTAATAAAAAAATATTTTTAGTCTTGTATGATTCCATTTTTGGATACATTTAGTATTCATGAGAATCTTATGTGCATGGTCACAAATTTTGAAAATATTCTCTCTGGATCGAATTACAAAAAAGTTCCGCACTCATTATCACAAACATTTTCTGATTTACAACCAGAAGGTAATTATTACATATATAACAAGTGATTATTAAATAATATGATTTTAATATAATATGATATGATTTCACTTCAATATATATTTGAGTAAATATATATTTTTTTTAGATAAAATCAAAGCAAAATTGTCATCATATGAAACACCCGTTAGGTTTGAAAAAGTTACAACTACGAATGATTTTGATTTTGAGGTGCAAGTTGAAGTAATTGATAACTTATCAGCAACCAAAAAATATTTGCAAAAATACATTCAAATTTTATTACAAAAAGCGAAGTAAGTCGCATCATTTGTAATTCATTCACATGGCAAAAAAAGACAATGCAAATTATTATAATTATTAGTTTGATTATAAAACAGAAAGATTATTTGCTAATTGATATTGTTATCTTCTAGAAATCATGGTAATAAATTATTAGAACATACAAGCTTGGATTATACACTTCAAGATTTATATTCTATTTTATATCAAAATGTTCCATTTGAAAAGACTATGATGGCGAATTGTACTTCAGTTGCATTATATGATAGACTGATGAGGAGAGATCCTAAACCTTGCACTGGGCCTGTAGAAATAACTTTACAGGTAAAATAATATAAATATGATATAAAATAAATTTTAATATGAAATTAATATGCATATGAACAAAACATGTGTCTGCATAATATAATATATATTTGTTAATACATGTATTTGTCAATCAATATTATTATTAATGTATAGTATACTGACTTACAAGTTAATACATCTGTGGAAAAGAGAATTCAACGAGTTATAGATGAAATTGATGCTATAATCTCAGGATCTATGGACAGTGTTAATGTTGATTTATGCTTAGCAACTGCTACCATTCATGAAGTCATCAGGTATAAAATTTGTATAAAATAAAATATATGTATGTAATATGTATTCATGAAATTAATTTTTCTGTAAAGTTACTATATTTATATTTTTGTTTAATTATTTGTTATTTTTACTATTGAGAATAGTAAATTTATCATATATCATCATATTTTCAGATTAATATGCCATAACAAAAGTTCGATTGGAAAAGATATGTTTTATTTCATACTGGATTTGCATTATAGAGAGAAAAATACTTTTCCACCTCTAGATGATCTTTTTAATATGTGTTTGACTAGTCTGACTAAGGTAAGTTGTAAAGGTTTTTTTATCTATATTTATTTGTATTTCTAGTTATATTATTATCATTGAGTTTTATTTACATGGTACATTCTTGTTTTAAAATATCTTTTTATGTTATTATTCTGATTATCTACATTATTTGATAATGAGTTTTGAATTGTGACAATTTGAATTTTAATATAACATGTGTAAGCGCCCGGCGCAATGTTTATTAAAAAAGGTAAATTAAACAATCACTACACACGGACACTTTACTACCTCGAAGGACCAGATATAATTTATTATTATAATGGCTATATCAGACCTTTAAAAATAAGTAAGTTAAATAAGTTGGTTTAGTTATTAATAGTATTTATTTGTTTGATGTTCACGGTTCAAGTTATATGTTATACGAATGAATAATTTTTTTATAACTAGCTTAGTACCTATATTAGGGTAAGAAATTATTTTATTATGTCAGGTAGACAAAGATAGATGAATAAAATGTGTGAGGCTCGAACATGCCGCCACGTTTGAAAAAACAATGTTGAAATGAATATGAAATTAATTTACATGATTTTTCAACATAGCTTCATATAGTTATGGTATTATAGTAAAATTATAATATAAATTGTATCTGGTCCTTCGAGGTAGTAGTACTACCTTCGAGGTAGTAGTGATTGTTTAATTTATCTTTTTTAATAAACATTGCGCCGGGCGCTTACATTTTTTGGTCCTTCGAGCCGGATAAAAAAATGTAATATATATATATATATATATATATATATATATATAAATTATTTTTCTTGTTTCTAGGCTTTTTACTATAATGACGATTGTGCCATATCTGAACTCTTATCAAAGATCGAGTGCAATATTAATTATCTGCCAATTGTGTGCAATTTTTTGCCATTAGAATATTTGACACAAGCAAGTTTTGTTAAGGTGTACAATTATATTTCCAAATGCAAACTACCGTTTGATGACAAGATTATGCTGTTGCAAAAAGTATGTCACAATATCAATGATGTTGATTGGATTATTCTATATGTATATATTCATACGTTTTCTAATGGTTTCAATTTTAGTTTAATGTGCAGATTTGGTTAAATGGTACAACAAATAGTCATGTCTACATTCTTGAATTATTATATATTATAGAAAACTCAATCTTGTGTTTTAACGCTTCTGCTTCTGAAGGAGTTGACGAGAAACTGTATGAAGTTTACAAGGTTTGTAGATGATATTTTGTTAAATGTAATAAAAAATGTTATAAACAATTATTAAAAACTTATATAATATTTACAGATTTTTGTTCATCATATGATGTGCATATGCAAATATAACTATCCCACATACTATTGGACTATATTAAATATAATTTTAAAAGGGTTTAACAATTTAAGTGTGACAACCTATTGTCTAGAATGTTTTATAAATGAATATTGTCGTAATAGAAAAATTATATTTTCTGAAAAAGATACAAATTATGATAAGACATTTTGGTCAGAAATGAAGCCCAACCCAAATGTAAATATAATTGTAAGTATATACATGCACATAGTGTAGCTATAGTGAAAAATGAAAAATAAAATTGATAGATCTGCTGTAACTTTTGAAGACTTTCATCTATGCCAAATCTACCACAGCAAAACCCTATTGTAAAATTATTAATAGTGATTTTTGTTTCAGTTATTAGATACTTGTTCATATTTGAATCAACATTTTCTATCAGAGCGTTTACAAAATGGTGTGTTTGGTCTATATTCCAAATATCAAAAATATCTATCTGAAATCAGAGTCTTGCTAGCAACTGTAACATGTTGTGCTGCTTATAGCGTTAAACAGAGAATTAATGAATCATCCAATGTAGACAGTAAATATCAATTTGAATATAATAGTATCATGATTTTTTATATGTAGTGCATAATCATTTCTTTTTTTTTCAAGAAATTCAAATAGTGGATATTATTCTTTCAATGTGGAAACCTTGGTTAGTGCCTTTGCATCAATCAAAATTAACTCATAAACCTCCCGATTGGGTATTGCAATTAGCTTTAGATGGACCATTACTGCCTTGCTCAGCTGATGATGGAGCAGAAATTAGTAAAATGATGTCTACCTTTATGGATTGTGCATCTAATTTAAATATATATACTAAAGGTAAAATTATATGAACATAATTAGGTAAAAATATTCACACATTAATGTTTTAGATGACGATGTGATGAAGTATCTTCTAGATGTGTATGTATCAGATTTTTGTCATCCAAAAGTTCCTAATTTTATTATCAAGCACATGAACAATGGACTGTTACAAACTTCTTGGAAGGATTATAAAGTCAGAGTAGATGATGTTGTGAACATGCACAGGTTAATGAATTTTATGAATTATAATTATAAACATTTATATTTATTATATTTTGTTGTTATTCTATAGCATTAGGTCTTTTTTTTCAAAGAAAATTATGTTTACAATTGAATATATTATTACTTTATATTTATAACTTTTTAACAACATTATGTTTCAGAATTTTTATGCAATTTTTACCAGAGTGCCATTACTTCATTGGTCAAATATTTGTTCAGATACAATGGAAAGAATTTTTACAACCTTATTGGGAAACTCAGGACATTAGGAATAATGTTAATATTCTATCTTTTTTTATTGACTTAATAGTTCATGCAACATATGAACCATCTTTACGAAATGTTAGTATAACTTAATTAATAATGTTTTTAAATTATAGCTTTTGATATCAAAGATTCTATTTCTTTATTGTCAATTAATTGTATTCATTTTTTCTGTTTGAATGAATATTGAATTTTATTTTAATATTACTTTTTAAGTATTTAATTGATAACATTAATTCAACAAATTTATGTTTTTAGAAAAGTGAAATACTGGACCTGATAGATGCGCTATCAATATATAATTGGAGCATTATTGAGAGTTCAACAGTAGAAACATTAACAAATTGGTTTGTGATGTCGGTTAGTCCTCTTGGCCTTGTAAATAAAGGAACTGAATACGCTACTGATAGGGCTGTACTAAGGTTTGTTATAGTATAGATACATTATCAACAGATTATCATTATTTTTTGCAATTTGGGAATAAATAGTTTACTAATAATAAGTGATTCTTAATTTATAATTCGTTTAATTATTAGTTATCACTTTGTATGGTAATTTATTATACACATTTTACAGAATGATCGAATCTACTTTAGGGGATCAATTAAATAATTTTTCGAAGCTGTTCACTATTATAAGAGCTAAAGTGAAAGTTTTGAGCATTATCGCAAAACGGAATTTAGCCACAAATGCAGCAGAAAAGTCAGAATTTCAAATGATTGTACATAATTTATTTATTTCAACAGAAAATTTTATAAACAGCAAAGGTAAGGCACACAATTATTTCAATTAGAAGCGGATTAAGTTGATTTTAAGTAATAAAGTTCATGAAAATTCAGTTTTTTATCATACATGATCCCTTATATTACTGTTTTATTTTATGTATGTTTTAAGTAGGTTTTATTTTTTTTTATTCATTTTTAGAAAACAATGAAATGGCTATATTACAAGGATCTGAAATATTCAAAGAAATTTTCATGCTCTTCAACCTAAATGATCCTCGATATAATTATGGTAAATATTTTAACCAATTTTGAATCAATAATGTTACATTCGAAAATGTTATATTTGCTAAATAGTTTTTTTTTATAGGAGACTTAGTACAAAAGGCAGTTACAGATTACATAAATAAGGGTGTGCAAATAATTTGCATAAAATCTATATTACGGATTATAAGCTCCTTGACAAATGAAACAGCTAATGCAACAATCATGGAAGGGTTACTGGAAGCATATTTTGCAAATCTGAGAGGTATTTCTAAGTATATATTAATATATTCTTAATTATTAGATCATTGGAAGTGCTGCAACCCTACATATGTTTTATATATGTGATTATTTGGGATTATTATTGGATCATACCCACATATACAATTAATTGAACCATCTAAAAATTATGCTTGCAAAAATATTTTGAACAAATTAAATAAATCTAGATATATGCGCGTACACTTTTCTGAACCGTTTGTGACCAAAATCGATAAGCGTTGTTATTTCGGTATATTTATATTACAATATCGACAAAAGAAATGTCCATTATTTATGAAAAAGAATAATAAAATTTTATTACAAGAACAATTTTTCCAATGAAATTAATTGGATAATTTATCAAAGGCAAAAATTGTTGTGATATGAAAAGCTTTTTAGCTTTAACCTGTGATTAATTTTAGGTAGTGAAGAACAATCTCTAAAACACTGGGATATTCTTAATGGAGAAATAGGCCAAATATTTGTCACATCTGTAAAAACGTTAGCGACAGGTTCACACATATTATCAATGCATATCTTTTACATGCGATTGTGTTCAGAAACGGATTCCGATAAACTCTTAAAAAATATTGAAATAATGCTAAGCAGTTTACATTATATTTTACCTAGTCTGTGAGTATTGAATGATTTACGAAGATAAATATATAATACTATATATATAAATCCTTTTTTCATTTCAGAAACAATGAACATCTTATACCACTATTGTGGTTTGATATATTGAGAATTTTAAATAATATTTGTATTAGTAATGAAAAAGTCGCCGTTCAGCATATGGCAAATTTTTGTGATTATTTGGAAAAAATTGCAGAATCTTCCATGGGAATTTTAGAAATGATAAAATTGAAGCGAAGCTCAATAACGGAGAAGTATAATAATATCAATATTTCATTATTTAATTTCTGTATAATTATTATTTTTTGTCAAAATTATAGATTCAAAATATTAAGTCGGATTTTGCAAACACTGCTGTCGTCTAGGTTGTGTTTTGTGGATAATGAATTATCATTGAAATCTGGCAACAGGTACTTAACTATAGTGCAAAAATAATATTTTGTTTTGTACATTCTTTTAATATTTAAATATATGTATGTATAACGATTTATAAATTTGTAGAGATGAAAAACATTATGATAATTTTCAAAAATTGGAAAGTTTAAAAGCAGATCTATTATCTAAGAAATCGAGTGGAGTTGAAAAGTTACTCTTGGAAAAAGGAATGGAATATATAAATAATGAAGACGATAATACTCCACTTAATTGCTTGTTTAAATCTCTTTTAACAATAGCATATGAGAAATCTTATTTTGAATGTTTGTAATACTGATAATGTATTTGCTGATTTTAGATAATTATTATCGCAGGTATTTAGTTTTAAGAAATATTTTAATTTAACTGTATATATTATACTATATTACCCCCAATTTGTGATAGTTAATTGAAATATTTTGTAAACTAATAATATATTTTGTTAATTGTTGGATAATTTTGTTTTATTTAAGTAATTTTGAAGTTTTGCCTTGAATCATTATTCTAAACTTTGATGATATGTTAGTATGTTTGTTAATACAAGGAACTGTATCATTATGAAACATTTCATAATAATTACAAAAAAAAATCAACAATTTTTTGCACAATCGTGGATAAAATTTTTTACACTTTTCTGGTATTCCAAAGAAACGGTGAAGCCGCCTTTGAGAAAATGTCGATGAAAACAAACTTTTTTTATGGTTAAATAAAATGCGTTTTGATTCTTGATAACAACATTATTATAATTATTATACGTTTTACTTAAGACCTATTTGAGATATTTTTTTCTAAAATAAATCTTTTTGTTTATATATAATGTATTATAAATAATACACTTTAATGCTTATACTATAATACACTTTACGTAAACATATAAGAAGAATATAAAATCTTATATGATATTTTGTTTTTATATAACAAATATAAAATTTATTTTTGTCGAGCGTCTAAAATAATACTACATATCACATTCTATCCTTTTTTTTATTTAAAAATATATTACAGAAATCTTTACATAACCCTAAACCAAAATAGAAATTTTGTATGTTTCTATCAATCTAATTAATTTACTACTTCATAACTTAATTATCACATTTTTTTTATTAGTTAATTCTCACTTCATTTGATTGCAGACCAACCCAGAATGTGGCACCATCCAATAAGACAGTAGCTCTAAAAATATTAATATTGGATTATTTTCAAAGTAATTTTTATATGTGTTTTACTGAAATAATAATATAAATTACTTGAATTTGACTACTCCTGAGACTCCTGCAGGGGGGCTCCATTTCAAGCTGATAACTTGGGCATCGGCTCCATCGTGCTTCTTGTGTGTTGCAGCGTTCTATCAAGTAATTTTAATATATATTATATTTGTACACATTTTAAAAATAGAATTTTTTATCATATTGGATTTATTCCTGATCATAATTATTTTATTCTGTAATTCACGATACATAATAGCAATTAAATATTCGTTAAAGGCAATATTTATTTCTGTTTGCGATAAGAGGTGTTGAGTAAATCATAAATGCTTAATATATTCATGTACTAATTGCGATAACTATACATATACACAATCCAATTATATATGAATATAGATAATCAACAGATATATCTAATGAGTTTATAATCCGTAGTGGGAAAAAATACGACAATTACAAATGTACGGTCGAGTGCCTCCATTAAAATTGATGATTTAATTGCCACGGCTTGTAGACTAAAGGTCACGTATTAAAAAAGTTGTCTTGGAATATAATTATATTCAGAACAAATAGTTAGAATAACAATTTTTAATTATCTCATCTATATTATTATTTTTATATATACCTATACCTTATTAAAAGTTTTAAAAATATTTCATTGAACCCGATTAATTTTACTTTATCATAAGATCATGTTATTTATTAAAAGATTTTAAAAATTCCAAGTTTATTCTCTAGGTTGCTGTATGGATCATTTAGTGCCAACATAATATATTAGTCTTATATGAAAATTGATCGAAATTCTTCATTATTAATAGTATTTACTTAAAATATTCTAAATAGATAGGTTTCTACATAGAAAAAACTTGTTGAAATATATGGGTTCAAGATAAAATTAATTAGTTTGGTGAATTGATCGGTCGAGTAATTTGTTTGAAGTTAGCATTTAAATAGTAAATATTTTTTTTAAAACATTCTCTATCAATTTTAAAATGCATAAATCTGTTTGAGAAATATCTTGAAAATCACATAAGTTAAGGTGATATTGTAAAATATCTATTGAGAATAAATACGTTGATTAGTTTTGTGCAAACGTGTTTTGTATTTGCCCGATTTAATTTAAAAAAATATGTTATATTGCAGTTGGCAATTATCATTATTATTGATTATTTTTGAATGGAACAAGAATTAACTTATAAGAATTTTTTGGTATTTTATAAAAATCTAAAACTCTGCCTTATATCTCACTTATTAACTTCCCGTAGGGTAAGTTATAGTAATCGCAAAAAATCGAAAATGAAAATTTTTATATATCTTTACGTTTCAAAGGTTTCTGAACATTTTGGCATACCTCAGAAAAAATGGATGTAAGTGTATATGTGTGTGTAGTATGTATGTATGTTTGGATTCGGGCGCAGAAATCAACCGATTTGAATGGTTCTAAAAACATTCAATTCCTATTGATATGAAGACGTGCTTTATTTTGGTGAAGACAAGTTTAGCCGTTTCGGAGATATGGGCAAAAAGTGCCAAAAATGGTAATTCGATTGAATGATTCGAAAAACATTTTACTTGTATACAAGTGTATACAAGCGTCGTTATAACGACGCAACGAACAAATTTCAAATTTTCAGAAAAAAATTGTTATTCAAATTTTCAAAAATATTAAATTTTTTTTTTTAAATTTACAATTTAGTTTGAAAATGTATATATTTCAAATGCGTTTTTATTATCGTAAGAAATATATCCTCAGATAGATTTATTCGGCACCCCTTGCTAATGTAAATTTTCTCAAATATTTTTAGCAATAAGATCGTCACTGTATATTTTATGAACTGTAAAATATATAGAGATTATAATTATCTATTTGAAAATTTTAACAATTGCTATTAATCATTGATCAATATTTCTTGATTGCTGATTTTTTTCCCTCAAATATTTAATTCCGGTACGGAAAGTTCCAACAATTTGCCTTAAGGCACGATGCCATGCACGCCACTATAGTTTTTATCCAAATCAACTTACCTTATGCTAAAATACTACACACACCTAGTTTTTAATATATTTCTTTTATAAAACGTATTAATATCTAATTATTATAAAATATTTGTTATCCTTACAGCATTTCCTGATCCGCAGTTGATCGTTTGCGCTAATTGCGATGATCCGGAAACGTCGAATGTTCCGACCGGTTCGTCGCCGAGACGTCCTTGCACGATGAAGCCCTTGATCGTGTCTTGTGCCGATTTGCCTTGGAGTTTTATTTCGATGAATTCACCAGCCTTTGCCTGCTTTGCGCTGACGTGTAACGCGTACGGAGCTGGGCTGGACTATGGAGAGGAAATTTAATGGTAAGTAACTTATTAATGATTTAAATAATAACTTCTTAATGTATGAAAAAATAATTTTTGTTTTTGCTTAACGTTAATTGTAAGCTAACGTTTCAAGTCATTCTGAATCGTTTGACATGAAAATTGAAAACACAAAGTATATTAACACGTTGCCGCAAAGGACGGCTATAGCCGTCCGATCTTTAGCGATATGTAGGCAAACAACGGCCTAATAATTAATAATTTAATAATAGTTAATAATTTTCACTTCCAAACATACAACTTACACTCAATTTCATCTGGCAATCTTAAACAATTTTAAAAAAAGTATATTTCTAAGCAATATCGTCAAATTAAAAGTGTACGGCAACGTGTTAAGTATTAAGTATATTATATTTATTTATTTATTTAAGGCCTTTAACCAGTCGGTCATTTAGCCCAAGTGTATTATATAAAAATAACGTTAACCGTAATACATAAGATTCTAAACCAAATTCGAATATTCAAAAAATTTACGATATTTATGTCAATTGCGAAGGGGTGGTTTTTGCTAAACATTGTCCGAGCTATATTTTTGTAAAATTAACACCGAAAGTCATTGGTTTCCAAACTTTTTTGCACCTCGCCCCCCTGCTCTAATAAAAAAAAGTTGCGCCTTCCTTAATTTTTCAAACAATTTAATTTTTTAAATTCTCAACTGATATTATCAGACTACAAATTAATATGCAATATTGTGAAAAATATGCGTAAAAACTAATTTTTTTTTTGTTAATTTTTTAATATCATTTCAAAAATTTTGGGTTATTTTTGAAAATAGTATTCTGAAAACAGATATGTGTGCGCCCTACCTTTAGAACAGTCTGGCGCCCCCCTTGAGAGAGCGCTCTGTTTATAAAATAAATTGATATAGAATCGAATAAATTAAAATATCACCGTATTTTTCAAATGATAGAAAGAAGAAAAATAAAAAAAATGTTATTGGCCAATGTACTCTACATAGATCAACAAGTATAAACTTGTACTATATAGCTTATAAAGCCAATTATAAATAAACAACTGTATTGTTTTTTGTATTAAAAATTTCATGAACTTTCGTTAGATGAGATGTAAATCCTTGTTAACATTTGGTCCGTATTGTGGTTTCTTTATTTATTAACAGTTTAAGCTTTAAAATCTAGACATAATTTTTCATTCAAGACCTAACGCGATGCTAAAATTCCTTTAACTTTTTACTTCGTAGGGTATTTTAAAAGAATTGTATTCGTCCTTTGCTCAAAAAAATTGTCACAATTTTAACATTTTAAAATAAATTTTTGTGAATTACTTGATTATTTTTAGAATGCTACTTATGAAATATGATCTTCTTTTTCAATAATTTACTTTGTGAGGGAATATTTTAAATGCGGTTTAAACTTAATGATTTATTTATTTATTTATTAAAATCATTAAAACCAGAACCAAAAAAATAAATCTATTTATTTATGACTGTTTTGGGTCATTGAATGTAAATCAAAATTATAAGACTAATTGCAAACTGAAATTAAAACATATAATTGCAGATAATTAAAATAAATAATCCTGGCTCTATAGTTTGAATTATGTAAATATCAATTTGATTTCTTAGAATTATTATCAAAACAATCGGCTAAACGATAGCATCAGTTAATTTTAATTTATAAAAAAAAACTTGTTTTCAAACACCTACAGACCACATCTTGGCATTGGTATATCAATTCTCAGTATTTAAAATTCAATTTTTTGTAATTGTTCATAACAAATGAAACGAAACAAGTAATTAGGTGATGAATTTTTATATTACAGAAAATAATATAATTTACGGGATTATGTCAAGCTTTTGTGGATTTCTATAAAATTAATATTAACCCTAGACGCATCCGAGGCATACGTGCAGACTTTTGTAATTTTATTAGGTACTTTTATGATGGAAATTTTGAAAAAATAAAAAGACTATTTGTTACTAAACCAGAGTTTTATATTTTCTGAATAAACCTTTGATGATATCTCAAAATATGCATTGACAAAAGACGGTTAAAAATTCACTTGTTGTTAAGCACAATATCATTCTAGGGTTAAATTACCTAGCAATAGTACAATTATTATTATAAATAATATATTATACTTACTTGTGGTTTATAAGGATGTTGGGGTAATAAGCTCTCGCAGACTTCTTTGGGTGCTCCCGCAGAATATCCTTGGGCGAGGGGCATGGCTAAGGCCAAGCATACAATTGCGAATCGGAAAGCCATTCTGAAATAAAATTAATATTATTTTTAGTTATAAAATTAATGCAATTTAAAGTCACTGTACTTCATGGAGTACAATGGACATGAAAATCACAAATTATAGTTACTATATAAAATAGCTCTATAATATATAAAATAATCTAATTTAAAAATCTCTGAATAGTTAACATTTAACGAGCTGTTTTGTATGAAAGATATCGTCTCAAGAATTTGTCAATACTTTTCCTCCGGAAAACGAGCATGTTTCAGCAACGATCAACGGCCAGCATTGACATACATAACGATTATGCAAAAGCGAATAAATTTCAAAATTACAAGACAACAATCCAAACATGGATAAATAATAAAATATAAAATAGGCAAAAATCATCTTCAGGCAATGGCATGGGCGTTAAAACAAATATAATTTTAGTGGAATAATTATCTAAAACAACAAACGATCCTACTTAGGAATGTCCTTAAAATTGTCTTATTTTATTAAAACAATTTAAACCCATTATACAAGTATTTCTTTATAAAATTTTAAACTTAGACTTTTAATTTCGTATAATGAATTTCGTATAACAAGTTCAATAAAACTCATTTTTTTATGAAAGATGAACGAGAATTTTTTTCAGTCTTTTAAGATAGAATGCATATGAAAAAAGAAACAAACTTATAAAGATTATCAATATTTAATTTGTGAATTATGAATATATGAAAATAACGAAATATGATTTTAAAATCATTGTTAATATTTTGAATAAAAAGTGTCTAACATTATTAATTAGCTATTGGGTTGAATATCAAAATAGAAAAGAATATTGCAGGATAGAAAATTATAGTGCGAATTTGTCAACTCTTCCCAGATAGATTTTATAAAAATTTCGAATACGAGATTTTAAGTTGGGATCATCAATTTGTAAAAAATTACTAATTAATTAGACAGGAACATCTTTTCCAGATTCTTTCGGTAAGGAACCCAGTTACATGAAACTGAGAAATAAAATATACTCTGAGAAGTCATCGCCCACTTACGATAAGACTTTTAGTAAATAATTTATTCAAACATCGGTTACATAAATTTGCATAATTTTCAAAAGTAGGTAAACTGTCTCCTTGCGAAATTCTAACAAGTTGCATAAAAAACTGTTCAATAAAACTAGCACATAAAAGTTAAATATATATCTTCGAAGCTTAAGGTTAAATCATATGGTGAGACCACTAATCAATGCAATGACATTGTAGTCAGGGATAGAAATACATATAATTTATTGCTTTTCAGGAAATCAATTACATGAGAATAGATCATCATTGACAATGATGTCAATTATAATAATTTTATCAACCATGTAAAATATTAATTTATCGGATTTATTGCAAAGGAGTTAAAATAATGCGTGCATCAACACTGCAATTTGTTCTGCATGTTCCGCAAACTCTTGTTATTTATTGGAAATGACGCATTATCCTATTTTGACTTTATATAAATAACATTGACAGCTATATTATTAGCCGTAATTAGATAGTTATTACATGTAAATGCAATTTTATATAACATGCTGAAGAATATCCTTAAGTATACAGGTTACAAATTTATTGCATTATTATCTATCATGTATTGTATTCAACTAATTAATTATACACGCGATAGACTATTGATTACATATATATATATATATATATATATATATATATATATGTGCACATGCAAACGCTCAAGAAAAATGTTTTGCACAAACCGCAGAATATATCACAAAGTCTTAAAACACATCCATATGTGCAAATTATATCCAAAATTTAATAAATATTTTTTTTGTCATTTACTCTTCAATAAAATTGTTATCAATGAATAAATGATTAAATAAAAAGTTGAACAATCCAGGCTTAATGAAAACGTTATTCGAAAATCAATATGAGCCCAATGCTAGCTACTATTATAATTTTCTGTTAAAATTAATTCAATATTTTAAATAAATAAATAAATCTATTATTTTAATCAAAATGTGTGGCATCTATTTTTGATCCTATTGTCAACAAATGAAATATAAAGATTTCAATATCTTGATATATAAAAAATAAAAAAGTTAAAAGGAAAACATTCCTGTATAAACTCTTTTTGATAGATTTAAAAATATCCTTTTTAAAAATAATCAAGATTTTTTTTTGTCCTGGTTGGTTTGCTGAATGATGACACACATCAAGTTTCGAATTGCCATTTAATTAATACAGTTGTTAAGTAATACAATTGTTTTTTTTTATCTTTATTATCTGACGAATGGGTTGCTAATTATTTTCAAATATATATTTATATGATTTCAAATTTGTAAAATATTTATTCAGTTACGGTAAGCATAAAATAGATGGGTCAGGTAAAACAAATAATGGAAATCCAATATTTAGACAATTCCGAAACGATATGAAAAAATCACGTAACAACTAATATTGGGAGAAGATGAAAATATATATTGTCCAGCCAATATATATCCATATTAGCAAAATAGAATGAATATTTGAAATGTTTTGATAAAATTTGCAATTTTATACATATAAATAGTAAGTCTTGTGTTGAACTTATCACCGAGGTTGCTTAAACATTTTATTTAATAATATGAAGTACAATTTTTTGCGAAATTAGTGAAGTAAATATGCAAAAGTTTTCTTAATCAGTATTAGTTTTATACAAGTATTTCATTATTCGACAATATTTCGCATAAAAGTTTATAAGAATTTTATGAATAGGAGGTAGAAAAACAACCGTTGGGTTGTTTCTTGCGAAACATTAGTCTTCAATAAAAAGCTTATAGGATAAGTAGTTTTGAGTAGTAAGAACATGTGTATATGTGCGTGTGTGTGCATTTATATCGTTAAACTTATTTCGCAAGAAATGGTAAAAAATGATCATGATAAATATTAAAATTTAAAACTTGTTTATTTTTGCATAGCATGTAAATGATTTTTTACTCTCTCCAATAAATATCACTGGTCGTTCAAGGCGACAAAAGCACACATCAAAGTTGATTAGCTCAATTGAAGGTTACTATCCAAGAGTTTCTCACACGTACTTATTGTGTAATTCCAAACAAAACAAGAATATAGGAACATGGATTATACGAACGTACACCTATACAAATCTTATTATGTATATGTACACACTAAAATAGATTGAAACTATTAATTTTTTATAACGATAATGTTTTTTAGTCACTGATCTTCTCCGTCTGATTGGGCACTCAAAAACCATGCAAAATAATTTTTTTCTCTAATCGATTAAGTCTGAAGTATATGAACTGAAATAATTGATTTATATCAGGTTTATCTTTCTTATCCTCGACGGATTTTTTTAAATTAATATTCGCAATTTTGTTCCCAAATGGATTGTATGGTATCTATTGGTTGGTCTATTCTAAATAGATGGTTGCACAACACAACAGTATATAGTTAGATTTCTTTCCAATAATTAAAACCTTTCTTTGAAACGTATAGAGAAAATTATATAATTATATAGGAAGAGTGTAATATAGAGAAGATTACTCTAAATTATCATGATATTTTGAGCTTTAAAGTGCTGAATAGAAGAAAAATTTAATAGATTACTTTTCTCTATATCTATTATCTAAATTTGATGGAACCAATCTTAAAAATAAGATATTAGGAGTAAGTTTTAAATAGCAAATGCAAAATTTTATTTTAAAATATGATATTTTGTAAGACTTTAAAGACTTCAGTTTGCACATAAATGATATGAGAACCAATTGACAAAATACCTTTAGTAGGTAATGTTAATGTTTTATGACAATTTGAATTGTTATTTTATTCATGTTTTGTAATTCTATGAGCTGTTATGATGAAAGCTCTTCTCAACAATGCCGCTTTTTAGACGACAACTTAATGGTTTTGCTATTTTAATTTGAAATATTTTCAAATTAGAATTTTTCTAATTGTAATATATTTTTCATTTTAATATTAATGTAGCAGTTGCAGAAAATTCACGTGCAAATATATTTTCATCTCTATTTTCAATTAAATAGTGAATAACACTCCTGCTTGATATCAGGTTGTCGGTAATTTAATAATAATGATATTCTGAGCTCTGAAGAACATTTTTATTATGATATTTAAATATTCATCTTATGTGTATCATTCCAAATATTATTTCCCAAGTTCCTAATTATTTTTTTATAAATATGTTTATTTAATGGCACTAATCATAATGATATATAAAATAATAATACTGAAAAAACGAAGTTTTTGAATTAAGACAAAATTGGATTCAAAAGTCATTATTTATGAATATGTCGTGGTATATGAAATCATAATAAATTATTAAACATTCTATTGCAATAAATGTGCAAATATCCAATGAATAATTTAATTTGGAATTGGCACACGCTCGCTTAATTTTTATTAGATCCAAATCAGGCGCGTGTTGAGAATTGATTCAATTTAAATGATAAATTATTGCAATATTCTTTGATTTACGAGTTTATAATTTAAAGCATTTGAAAATTGCTCCAAAATATAAATACCTTTCTTACGAAATACAACCTTTGTTCTTAACAATACCTTTGATTTAAGGGATTAGAGCTTTATCAAATCATACCTTACGATCAAACTAGAAATATGTAGATTAATAAAATTGGTAATCACAATTTCAAAAATCGATTATTAAATGAGACAACAACAAAATAAAGTCAAGAAACGGATAGAAATTTTAATTTATGTATCAAAATAATTTAATCGCGAATATCGACGACATGAAAATTATATCATGTATTAGTAGATAAATCTAGTGTTAATTTCGAAGAAATATTTTTCGTTAGATATATATTATATCTAATATATATGTGAGTATATAAAGTTTCGAAATATACGTTCTGTTTTCACTAATAATATTATTTATTGAATTTATACAAATTGGTTTGGCCTACGATGATTATTGCCATTGTTTGATAAATTGGCATGCAAATAGATGATGATTTTCGTTTTACGTTCATCTTCAATTATTTACATGGACAATACGAAATTATTATTTGTTATCAGGTATTATTTTTTATATCATTTGGAAATATTATATGAAAACGCATCGAAGAATCTTGTTTAGAGAGGCTCTTAAGACATTAATTTCAAAATTAATAGTTTGATGATTTCAAAGAACTTAATAAAAACTTGATTATAAACACAAATCATTTTTTGCGAAGAAAAAAAACATAAGCAAAAAACTTTTTTAAAAGCAAAAATCTGAATTATCAATGCAACACACAAAGTAAAACCTTAAAAAGCAATTTCAAATTATATACGTTATAATTAAGACAATTTCTATATTCTTATTTTATAAAAATTAAGATTTTTGGTTAGTCCATCTCACCTCTACGTAGCATAAATTTAATAGCAATCGTGTAGATGAATCAATAATGAATTTTAATTATATATTCAAATATTTAGTATAATATATATATATTCAAATTTTTAATGAAAAATTTGGCAAGTTAGGAAATATTCAAAGAAATGTTTAAAAGTAAGAAAATATACAGTGCAACCATACATAGATGATTTAAAAGATTCATATAAAGTCCAAAATGTAACGTTTCATGGTGTATTCGAGTGCATTCATTATTATTCTTATTTTTTTTCATTTACTCTATGATACTATTTTACTATCGATTGTCATTTTACTAATCTTTAATGAATCTTTGATTCGATTACATATAGTAATTAATTATCATTTTTTAGTCAATTTTTCGACATTGCTTCCCAATTAAAATATTATGGATTTCTGCTATCTTATATTTATATGTACCAAGCCATTATTAGAGTTGGAGCAAATTAGCTCCAAGTTAGATTAAGTATGTCATGATTTTATATCCAAAAACAAAAAAGTGTACAAAAAATATCGATGTCTAATAAAATCATCGTTGAATTACAAAGTATTGAATAATTAAATACACTTAATTATTTATGGAAATGCTCTCCAGGAGTTACCACCATTAATGAATTCATTTTACCACCAGTTATAGCAAATTAATAAATAGAAAATGATACCTATTTTTTTTAACTTATACCTTATGATGTATCGATGATTACAAAATTCACACAAATAACTAAAAACTCACTTACTTGATAAAAGCGAAATGCCAACAGTGTGGTAAATCAAGACATCAGGTCCGCTTTTAAATTAATCCCTACTATGACCATACCACCATACCAAATACCACCGCGGTAGTAGGGATCGAAAGAAACTGAAAGTTCATCCGTAATTGGTTTCGTTATTAATATTCATATTTATTATATCTACAAATCTCAGATTATTTAATATTTTAGTCAAGTCAAGTCAATATTTACTCATCAATATCTTAAATTCGAGTAAAATTTGTGAACACAGATTTATTATACAAACTTCTATAATTGCCGATTGACAATATGACCGAACATTTTGTGCTAAACATTTTTATATTTTCTCAATTAACTTCTTGTAGGGTAAGTTATAGTAATCGCAAGAAAATCTAAAATGAAAATTTTTATATATCTTTACGTTTTAGAGGTTTCTGAACATTGTGGCTTACCTTGGAAAAAATGGATGCATGTGTGTGTGTGCGGGTACAATTTTTTGTCAACAATTTCGAAAACAGGGATCAACCGATTTGAATGACTCAAACTACATTCGATTCCTATTGATAAGAAGACGTGCTGATTAGTTTTTGATAAAGGCAGGTCCGGCCGTTCCGAAAATACGGGGCCGAAAATGGTATTCAATTTTTGAGAGAACGGAGCTTTCGATTTGAATAATTCAAAAAACATTTTACTTATTTTGACAAGATGAACAACTTAGGAGATTTAGTGAAAAAAGTTAAAAAATGCCTTTTAGCGATCAAAAATGATTATTAGACATATGCACACCAAATTATCAAATATTTTAAGGAGATTTTAATAATATATATCAATTTTGTTTACATTTCTATGGGTTCCGTAACATCGTTTGTACGTTGAACGGCGATGCAGCGCTTACGCGCTTCGATATTTCATTGCTATGCAGCTAAAGCAGTGCGATTGCTCTGGAAAAACGTTCAAAATTCCAAAATATTTAAAACTAAAAAAACATTTTATTTCAAAAGTTTTTTTTTCCAAGAAAACAATTTTTTTCAAAAATGTTAAATTTCCCAAAAATCTACTTTTTTCAAAGTTTTTTAAAAAAAATTAATCTTTTTTGAAGCATGGCACAGAAAGTTCCAGCAATTTGCTTAAAATACTTATTTAAGTCAAAACCAGGACGACAATTTTTAAAATAAAAGCTTTTTAGGGTCAATTATGAATCTTTTTTTATTAAAATTGCGGACTTTTAGTAATAAATTTTTTACATATATTATTTTTTTATAAATCTATGATATTATATTCTTATATTTTTTGATATTTATATATGTATTTTTCGCTTATGAGTCTTGTATAAAATTCGATTCAATTTTCTTCTTAATTAATTTGAAATAATCAGCACATGTTTGTTTGTTTTCAGAATTTTTGTTAATTTACCTAATAATTTTCGAAAAATGGTAAACCCGGGACAAAAGATCTAAACCCGGGACAAATAATGCTTTTAGAAAAACCCGGGACACAAGGTGGAAATCTAGGACTGTCCCGGTCAAACCTGGATATACGGTCATCTTCTTTGGTATAAAACAGGACTTTCTAAATTATGGATCGCGCCCCACATGGGATTCCATGGGAAAATTCTGGGGATGCGAGAGATTTTAATGTCAAATATTTATATTATTTTATAACATCATGTCTTGATTTTTGTATTTTCTCAACTAATTCTCAAACTATATATTTTCATATTTGTATGAATATGTATATTGTAACTTGTAACCAAACAAATAAATCATTTAAAAATATTATTGTTTTTTTTTATATGTGTGGGGTCATTAAAAAACTTTCAATCATAAGTGAGGTCGCCAAAAAACTCGGAATCGTAAATGGGGTCGTGAAGGACAAAAGTTTAAGAAGCCCTGGTATAAAACATCATGTTTTCTGGAAATATTTATATTTTTACTTCTGATTTCATCAATCGAATTCAACCAGACAATCGACATCGGCCTTTTTACATAGGTTACTTATCTTAAGTTCAAGAAATAAATCATTCCTGGTAGAATAGATATGCTCATGCTATTTTCTTTTGCACAATTTAAAACTTTGCTTTGCACTCTGCTATTACATTTACGAAGATATTTATATCTATTATTAATAGGTAAAGTAGATGCACTGGCTTGATTTTATCGTTAACAATCATGTCATTTGTTTTAAAGTGTTGGTATTGAAAACGTTAAACATTTTTTTATGTTGGCAGTATTGGGCAAGGTTCGTGTCCAAGATAAATTTAACTGCATAAAAATAATTACCGGCTTGCGTCAAAATCAACCATGCTTCCACAATGACAGTTGTTAAAATAGGTTAAAGAATTTATTAACTCATGTTAAGTTTAAATGAAATGTGATTTATTATTTAATTGACGTTGTCAAATGTTTTGTTACATAGTTATATAACATTAAAACATTTATAAGAAATAAGTGTATTTTCATTATTAAGGCATTAGAAGGGCATAAAGATTTGGCAATTTGTTGATATTCAAGTAACGCAAAGTATTTACAAAATGGAAATAAAAGACAGCACGGTTTACCAATCAGTACCAATGGAAATTTCAGAAAACATGAGTTTTCTTGCTTTTGCTACTCAAAGGCAAAAAGAAATAATAGCGATGGAAAATTCAATATCGAATCCATCTACAACAAAGCTTATTTTTCAAAAACTGCCACCTCAAATGCGCCGCAGAGTAATGAGTCATAATTCTAAAAGATTGCCAATTAGATTACGAGAAGGTCACATGAACCAATTAGCTAAGAGTGGATTACCACCGCCAAGTAAAAGACCCTCAAGATGCTACAGACGCAGACCAAAAAATCTTGTTCTAGAATATAGAAGGCGACAAAAAACTAAGCAATGGTTAGAGACACATATTTGGCATGCTAAAAGATTCCACATGGTAGAAAGATGGGGCTTTAAGCTTCCTGAAACATCATGTGATAAATCATTCAGAGCTGCTTTCCGTGCCACAAATGCTCATTGTTTACTACAAGATATATCTTATTATACGTGCTTTGAGTTGTTTGGTCAAAGAGATTATTTACTATCTAAATTAAAAACTATAACAAATTCAAAATTTGGTTTAACTTTTGGTGCCAAAGCATTTGCAAAGGGTAATAGAGAAGGGTGTGTTGAAATCGTACATAATGAACATCCATATAAAGCTATTGGTAAAGTTCAGTTTATGTGGAATCCAATTTCTGATGGTTGTCCACAAAAGTTATGGATTTTTGCTCATCCCTCATTTTCTAGTGAACTTTCAGAACTGATTTTAAAATTATTCAATCTAACTATAGTCCAAAATATTAATGAAAATATAATTGATACTGAGTATTGTCACAACGATGGTACTAGATTAACAATAATTAGAGCTTTAAATAGATTTACTTTAACAGGCCCTTTATCTAATGCTGTTTTAAAAGATACACTCCAGGAAATTGGAAATCCATTAGAACACTGCATTAAGAATAATTGGGCTAATGAATATTTTAATGACAATGAAACAACTGAAATTTGTGAAAAGCAAACTCTAATTTGGAATTCTATAAAAGAAGTTTCCACACCTTCTGAATTAGGTTCTCACATGGTTTTAGGATTGATTATTCTAGATCCTCGAACTCTAGACCGCACAAAACGAACAAAAGCTACTCCTGGTAGTAATACTATTGATGAATTTGAAATACCAACTGATTTATGTGAAAGCCCGCTTTGGGATTCTCAAATAAGAGAAAGGATTAAAAATGATATGATGTCTAATGGAGAAATATGTAAAATGAAAAGCAAATTAAATTTAGTTCCAGGGGAAAATGGAATAGTTGGTAAACATTTGCAAACTATACCAATAATACTTATTCAAAAACCAAGTACTACATGTTCTAAGCTAGGATATGGATCAGGTTGGGACATAATAGTTCCACCGAATTATGCAATGCCTTTATGGATTTCACTTATTAATCATGGAGCAAGAGTTGGTGGATTACGAGAGAGTAGAAGCATATGTTTTGAATCACAGCAACACTATTTATTTCCTGATACTGAAGCGGGTAAAAATGAAGCCGAAAGGATAAGTGCAGAGCTAAGAAAAAAGTATTTCAGATTACCACCTTCTAAAAGAGTTAATTATGTAAAAATTGGTATCAATAGTCCCTTCAAATGCCATTGGGATTTACTTATTAATGAATGGGCCGGGATAGAACATGAATACTTCCAAGTTTTGAGGGATAAGCAGTTGTTAAATGATTTACAGGTTACTTTGCTTTACTTATTTACAAAAAAAATTACAAAAATATGAAGATAATTTAGATGTTAATAATTCTTTTCTTTGCAGATGTTTCTTGAAAAAAAATTTTCAATTAAAAATCTAGATGCTAACTCAAATCTTTTGATACCAGTTCATTTAACAATGGTTAAAAAAGGATTATGCAAAGATTTTTCAATAATTTGCCTTCCCAAAATTAGTGATTTGAAATTATATAAGCTAAAAGAATATGGGAAAATACCAATTGAAAAAGTACATTTAGATGAAAACAGGGACAAAAGGCGTCTGGAACGACGTTTGCATTTAGCAATGTTGAAAAAATTAAAACGAAAACGACTGTTGATTAGGAAATCAATTCAGGAGAATTATAATGGCGATTTGAAGGTATTTACAATTATTTTTATTATCATACCCTTATTTTGAATTTAAAAATAATTAAAATGATTTGAAGTTAAGATGCCAATACTCCCAGTGCTACAATATTTTCAAGTTTCTATTCTTCTTGTTTGCAATAATACATTTTCAGTCATTTTACAAAGTAAATTTAATTCCTACTGTTTATAGGATTATGGAAAGTTGTTACAAAAACAAACTGAATGTAAAACAAAATTCAGCAGCGAGTCTTTAGTTAAAACACAATTAGAAAAAATGAAAGAATTGTGGTTACCAGAAAAAATACCCACTGTTCGAAATCAGTGTTCTAGAGAAGTCATGGGGTATGTCACACAAGGTGGTTTTAGTTTTACTCAGCATGCTGGCTTGTGTTTAGGGTTTGTTACATTAAGATCTTTGATTCAATTGCGTTCTTTATTTAGTAATAATATAGTTTTAGTTAGAAATACAACATCTAGGAAATATTCATTTGCATCTATTAATGTTATCACATGAGGAATGTTTTTTTTTTTTTGTATATTTTTAATCTAAAGTACACATTCATTTCAATTATAAGAAAGAAAAATATTTATTTTATATTTTAGTCAAAATATAAATTTTTATAATATAAAACCGCTTTATTTACTTGGTTTTTCCATCTTCATCTTTCCTTACCGAATCAGAAAAATTATAAAGATTAACACACGTATGTGAAAACAACACACATATGTTGTAAAGTCTATTACATAAATGTTTTTATTATATTTTATTCATACATAACTGAAGGCCACTTAAATAGTGAAGACTTTTTTTTTAATTGAATAATATTTCTTTTAGTAATTAAACAACGTTATATAGATTCATATATTCAACAAATAATTATATTTTTTTAATAATTTATTATACATCATAACAAAATTTAAATTATAAATATTTATCAATTAGTTGTTCTCTTTGTTGAAGCATTCAGATATGTAATATATTACTTTATATTATTTATATACATACACATTTTATATATTATACATATATATATATATATATATCTTGATGATTTTTTGTTCGACGTTGAAACATATTGAAATGAATAAAACAGCCAATGCGTCGAATGTAAACAATTTAATTTATTTTTTATACGTTTCGAGACTAGATGTGTCTCATCATTCAGCTAAAAGAAATTTACAATATAAATAAAAGATTTCAAAAAAATGAATTTATACAATGGAAAAATTAATTGAAAAAACAACAAATTATACACACCAGATCAGGAAAAACCCACTTTACTAAAACATTTTACAACACCACAATCACATGACACTACTGTAGGAAAACAAAAATAATTTACGAAAAGACCGAAAAAGGTAGATGTAAAAATGTATAAAATACATAATTATTTGTTTTCAAAGCATAGCAACACGAATGGACTAAGAATGCGTCGAGAGACGTGTAGACGGCTATGCGACCAACACGCGTGCATGTGGGAAGGGATATCAGGGGTGTAGTATGGCGTCAGATTTACAGAAATTAATTATATTTTGATAACTTTCTGAGAGTAAGCTAGAAGAACTGCGTTTGTTAACACAATTAGAATGTAAAAAGATGAAACATGATTCGGAAAATCTTCTAAGGTCTACATTTTTTTCTTTATATAAAATTATAGGATGGTCAGTATTAAACGAATGTTTGAAATTAATAATGTGCTCAGAAAACATTGTTTTAAATTGTCTAGGGTTTTTTGAATTATAAATATGTTGATTCATTCTCTTGCTAATGTATTGGGAACTTTCACCGATATAACAACTGTCACAATCTAAACAATTAATTTTATAAACGGCATCGGTGATTCGGTCAGACGGAGATTTTGATTTTAAGGTAGAAAACAGGGAACTGAGTGTGTTATCAAAAGTGAAAACTAAAAGAAAACCTTCAACAGAAAAAAGTTTTTTTAAAAAATAAGAAAAACTACCCAAATAAGGTAAACAAATAATGCCTTTATATTTGCTAAATAAAGAAGAAGAATTTGAATCGGCAGTAAAATATTTTTGAACAACGGAAGTGACATTATTATTATCAATATTGGTAACGTTTAAAAAATTTAACCTATTTTTAATTATATTATTGATTAAATGTAAAGGATAAGAGTTATTTGTGAGAATGGAGCGGACTAAATCCAAATTTTTATTCCAAAAAGTTTTATTGCTTAAAAGAATAGCTCTATCAATGAGAGAAAATTGTAAATTTCTTTTAGCTGAATGATGAGACACATCTAGTCTCGAAACGTATAAAAAATAAATTAAATTGTTTACATTCGACGCATTGGCTGTTTTATTCATTTCAATATATATATATATATATATATATATGTTATATAAATGTATTTCTAAGCAAGATTTCATACTTTGAATCTAAGAAGGTATGCGTTATATTTGATGATAAATGATTTTGCGCACAAGTGAATCGATTTTTATATTCATGAAATAAATTATAAACTTCACTTTGAAGAAAACATTCCTTTTTAAAACTTCAATACTATTATACAAGTTAGTCCAACAATTAAACCTAAATAACGATCAAACATAACCTTTTTCAAAATAACCTAATACGGAACTCCTAGAGTTCGATTTTAATTTAATATTTATTCAGGTATTTATAGTTTTTTACTTAAATATTGAACGACATCAGTCCAACGGTGTTCTTTAGCGAGTTCTAGTGGCGTGACACCGTCCTGATTACATATAGTCGGGTCGCAACCAGCTGCTATCAGCAGTTTTACCACTGTCAGGTGGCCGAAGAGGCATGCGCCGTGCAGGGCGGTCTCACCATTCTGAAATGGTGAGTTTAAACTAAACTAAAATTTATTCTTTTTATAGTAACTTCAATGGACATTGGTGCAAGTTAGTTTTGGGGTTTGGGGTTCGAACATAATTGTGTTTGTGAAGAATATCCATACATATGTGGAACTTCTGAAGTAGAGGATTATAATTAAAAATACTTGGGAAGAAAACCATTTGTTTTACTATTTTTTACATTCGAGAGGGTAGAGATTTTTATTGTTTGCATCCGAATTTTACAAAAATATTTTTATTAAAGAATATGGTTTTATCACACAGATAGGCTAAAATTACCTATTAATAGTATTCAGCGAGAAAAGTTTGGGTACAGCAATTTAAAGAGCAATTAACACTTATCATATTTTATTTGCTTTATTCGTAGTCCGAAAAAAATATATATCTGATATAATAATTACCGGTAGTAGCCCTAAATTTGGTTTGTACTTTAAGAGTTCCTCGACAACCGCGAAATGACCCTTATGAGCCGCCTTAAACAATGCAGTGGCCCCATCCTGTAAAAGATGTAAAGTGAAAGTTTAGGATTTAAAAGTTGGAGATTTGCAAAATTGTATTAAATTCAGCCTACGTTATAATTCTTTTATAAATCGCAAAATTTTCTAAAACAACCACTGTATGGTGATATACAACATAAGATAATTAATAAAGTGCAAATTAATACAAATACAAATTAAGATAATTAGTAAAGTGCTTATACAAGCTATTGTATATTTCTATTTTATGGGTATTTGCGTGTATGAAATGAAATTGTTTATCAAATTTCAATTAGTCTTTCGCTAGAAATATTAAGAATAATTAGTGAGTGAAAGTTATAAGATATTTTATAAAACCTCATAGAAAGTCATTACAATTTTCAATTATTTTTCTGTTGTGCATGAAGAAAAGAAAATATAATAAAACATTTTTACAAAATTTCATTTTGAATAATTTATATTTCAACTTCTTCATATAAAGGTGAAATCGAATCTTTGTTTGAAGTTTTAGTAAGATTTTCTTTCGAACGGCTATGAATATGGAAAATCATTAAACTGAGTTCTATTATTGTGAATTTAATTAATTAAATCACCAACTAGCCTTGAATAATAGTTATCGATGGTTTCGTCAGATCGATATCACTGCCGAAAAAGTATATTTATATATCCATAATCTACATTTGTTATTATGAGCGAAAGAAAATTAAATTAATGTTTCATTTTCTTTACTTATTGTAAAATTACCGCTTCTATACTGATGGTTATCTTTACAGATTTTTCTATACTTATATTTTCTTATCTTTTAATGGAATTTTGCAGTCATAACTTGTAAATAAAATGTATTTAAATTTTTATTATATCAATATCGGTTGGTAATTTAGTAGATAACTGAAAGATCCATTTTCGAAGTAAATCTTTCTCTAGTAGAAGTTTAATTTAATATTGGAAAACAACTTGGACGACATTTATTATTAAAATTAGTGTTTAAAATCACTTCTATATTTTCTTACATGTCTAGTTGCATTAACATCCGCTCCCTCTTTAAGTAACAATCTCACAACGTGATCGTGTCCGCATTGACTGGCGATCCAGAGCGCGGTTGCGCCGTCAGACCTCTGGGCCTCGGCCCTTGCGCGGCCCGCAAGTAATAGCGCCACGGTCGATGCATGCCCATTTTGAGCCGCCACGAACAACGGGGTTGCCCCATCCTAATGGAATAGATTGAATTAATATCTATCATAACTGTAATTTTTAAGTTAGTGGGGAGATGGGTACGGTTGTGCCAGGGTACGATAGTGACAGTCGTCATAACAGCTATACTGATTTTGAGAAAGGGTCCAAAGGGAAAGATTTTTTTTATTTCACTTTATTTTAGCAATCAGAAATACAAAAATAATTTCTATGAGCTAAACTGTACATTTAAATAAGTATGGTATTATATAAGATAATCCAGTGATATATCTTACTTAGTTTACATAAAATCGAATGGCCATATCCTTTTCAGTCTTCTATTATCATGCGGTAGTAAGATGTCTGCAACTATTGGGTTTGGGTGGATCTCTAATTTATTTCTATGGATTAAGGCACGCTCTTGTATTGTTTGCCGGACTGTTAACATTTTCAGGTCATTGTGTATTGTAAAGTTTGTCTAGTACCATGGTGCGTTTAGAATTGATCTTAGAATTTTATTTTGCATTCTTTCTATTATTGCAATATTTGATTTTGAAGCAGTGCCCCATAACTCTACGCCATACATCCAAATTGGTTTCATTACACACTTATACAATAGTAATTTGTTCTCTGCAGATAATTTAGAGTTTCGGTTTATTAGCCAAAGGGAAAGATGTAGTAAGTTTGTTCGAAGAAGTTCCTATTGTTGCTTTCAGTCAGCGCCCTACGTTAACATTAACTGTAGACCGATGCTTCTAAAGAGTCAAAAGTAGGTTTTTCCGATTGATTTCTTTTAATTATAACTGTTGCTTGTATACAGATAGATCACTTTATTTGCTATTTTGCTGCAAGTTGAACATCAGTCGTTAATAACCAGCAAATACCGGTAATTATAACGTTGGATACGGTTGTGACAAGTGACATGTATTTCTTGTCCTTTTCAGGTGAAGATAGGATGATATGTTCTCAAAAATGCGATTTGCGATTTTGATCAAACTTGACACACAATGTTACTATACTTTACCAAGATTATGACCAAAATTTAAAGTTTGAACATTTAATAGTTTCTGAGATGTGCGAGGTTGATGGGTGGCTGGCTCCGCGCTCAATACTAGTATTGAAACAGATTGTACGTTTTCAAAAATGCATAATTTCATTTTGATGAAACTTGACACAGATTGTCACTTCACTTTACCAAGATTGTGACCAAAGTTTAAGGTTGGATCGTTCAATAAATTCTGAGATATGCGAGGTTGATGGGTGGCTCGCTCCGCTCTCAATACTAGTATTAAAACAGATGGTATGTTCTCAAAAATGCAATTTACGATTTTGATGAAACTTGACTCAATCTGTTACTATACTTTACCAAGATTGTGACCAAAATTTAAAGTTGGATCGTTCAATAGTTTCTGAGATATGCGAGATCGATGGGTGGCTTGCTCCGAGCTCAATACTAACATTTAAACAGATGGTATGTTATCAAAAATGCGATCTGCAATTTTGATGAAACTTGGTACACATTGTCACTATACTTTACCAAGATTGCGACTAAAATTTAAAGTTGGAACATGCAATAGTTTCTAAGATATGCGAGGTTGATGGGTGGCTCGCTCCGCTCTCAATACTAGTATTGAAACAGATTGTACGTTTCCAAAAATGCATAATTCTATTTTGATGAAACTTTACACACATTGTCACTATACTTTACCAAGATTGTGACCAAAGTTTAAAGTTGGATCGTTCAATAGTTTCTGAGATATGCGAGGTTGACGGGTGGCTCGCTCCGCTCTCAATACTAGTATTGATTGATAGATTGTACGTTTTCAAAAATGCATAATTCCATTTTGATGAAACTTGACACAGATTGTCACTATACTTTACCAAGGTTGTGACCAAAATTTAAAGTTGGAACATTCAATAGTTTCTGAGATATGCGAGGTTGATGGGTGGCTGGCTCCGCGATCAATACTAGTATTTAAACAGATGGTATGTTCTCAAAATTTATTTTTTTAAAAACTATATTATATAAACTTACGGTCATAGCGGCGTGGACATTGGCGCCCATGCATAGTAACTCTTTGACGACGTGCAAATGACCGCATTGGCTGGCTACGAAGAGAGGCGTACCTCCATCCTGCAGAAAAATAATTATTTTATTATCATGCATTAATTTGGACATCAATTATATTGAAAAAGCTTTCTAAATTGAAGTAATATTTTTATTTTCAAATTATGTTTTTGTTCAAATGGTGAACTTCTAATAACGAATATAGGAATCTTATCATTTTCATCTCGATTCTCAACCAGTTTCATCAACTAATTAATAATCCAAGTTTTTGGATTTGTCCGTGGTTTGAGTGCCTAATAAATTTTTATGTAGATGAATAATAACTTACTATGCTAGGGCAATCAATAGGTGAGCCGGCCTCGATTAAAACTTTTGCAACCTCTAAATAACCACCTTGAGCTGCGAAGAATAATGCAGTTGTACCAGTCTATATAAAAATGGCATACAATTAGTTAAACTGCAAATTTTTAATTATAGAGAAAAATACTCTATAATCACAAAATGTTTCCATTTTTTCAAAATTTTTAATAAATGAATTAATTAAGTAATAAAGTATGCGTTAGTTGTGATTCAAATAAGTAATAAACAAAAGAATTTTTATATGAATGCTTGTAATACATTGCGAAATAGATAGAATATTTGGAACTAGTAAAAAATTTATGAAATGATACTGATAAAAAATACTATTATAAATACAAGAAATTATTTTTATCTATAAAAGAGACAACATACCGTCCTTCTGGCTCGTGGGTCAGCTCCTTGATTTAATAATTCCTTAACACAATTAAGATGACCTCCGGCTGCAGCTAAAATAAGCGGTGTCGTATAATCCTGCAATATATTAGTGCAAATTAATATATTGGTAATAATTACATTAGAATTCGTACGTTAATAATTAGAATCTTAATAATCAACGTTTAAAAAAATTATTCCATTTTAATACAGTTGAACTAGTTCAACAAATCAAAAACAGAAAACTAATGTGAACGATTTGTTTAAATATTTAACAAAACAATATGTTTTCAATTAGCTATTAAAATTACTACTATCACACATAGTAACTATAAGTTGGCAAGAACTTATTATTGAAAATGCTGATACATATTTGCAATATCTAGGTACTATAATCAAAAAATTATTGGTCCATTAATTATATTCTATATTGAAAAGCGAAATAATTCGATTTTAATTATGACCTTTCAAGAATGAATGAATTTAGAACAAATTAAAATAGATTAACTTATAGTCGGAAACAATTAGATTCTGGGTCATGTTATTGCCATATGGACTTAGTTCATTCTTATATTTACATAATATGCGCATTTGGATGTTCTATAAATATAATTTTGTTAATTGTTGATGCTTTTAGTGTAAAAAACGTCTGAGGAATTTTCAAATTAGAGTTTTGTTTCTAGATTATTCGACTTAGTAAACTCTGTATATCTATATTATGTGAAAAATAAAGTTCTATGAAAAATATTAATATATTAATTGTCCATTTAGGTTTTATCAAATATCGTGTTACCCGAATCATTATATATCGATCATTTTCATCGTTCGTTCAGGTTGTTTCGAGCGGAACTCTAAAATTAATAATGCAGCTGAAAGTTCCTTCAAACAAAAGTTGAGTTTGTTTTAGCGAATTCGATACTTGTACCTGGCAGTGTCAGATTTCTTTTTCCTAATTAACACTCGAACATCGTCCAAACGCAATTCAGATGCATTTTGATGCAATTCTGGGTAAAGTTAATTTAACTGATCATCCATCCAGATAATAAAATAGAAATAAAACCAAATTATTTTTCTAAAAATAATTATAATCGATTTCCATAAATTTAGAGTCCCAGTTTGACTCTTCTTCAGTGGACAAAATTTTAATTTCTTAAATTGCTTATTTACTTAATTTTACTTATCCAATGAGAAGAGTTTCTTTCCCTATGTTTTCTTCAAACCTGTTCTTGAGAGAATTCAGCAATTATTGTTGGAGATGATTTATTTTATATATAGTTTTAAATTCGAACAAATATTTAGTTTTAAATTCAAACTTTAAATGGCCTGCTTTTAAACATAAATTGTACAACTTTCCGTACCTGATAACAACCTATTTTCGTGTCATATAATCACGCAAATATATCACTTCGTGGTGATAGAATTCATAAATCATCAAGTTTATAAATAGCTCTTTTAATGATTTAGAGAGTATAGGATAGGAAACTTTTACATAGCCTTCCGGAAAAAAATAAAAGACTAAATTAAATTATAAATCGTATTTAATCTCTTTCAAATTAAAAAAATCTCTGTTTAAACGTTATCAGTTTTCAAATTTTTCACACATTTTCAACTATATAAATAAATTTAGTATTTAAGTATATTATACATTTTGTATTATACTTTGGGGTGTCTTAGTAAAATACTTTGTGGGGAATATGTTATATGAAAATTGAATTTACTTTATTATATTTATTTATTATATCTAGAAAATAGTAAATTCAGCAAGCACAGCTTTACAAGTACATAGCAATAATTATATCGCGAAATAAATATTAGTTAATTGATAAAAGAAAATAGATAAGTAGAATTAGTCAAGTAGATGTAAAATATCAGGAACTCTTTTGATATAGTTTAACATTATGCAATAATATATGTTCAGAGCATTTATTATATATATAAATAGTATAAGGAAAGACTAACAAAATAATTATTTTTGTAATATCAATTTTGGCAAAAGTCTTCAGATTTCTTAACATTATTATAATAATAATAATATATATTTCAAAATGTTATGTTGACATCCCATAAGTATATTATATTAAAAAATAACAATATAAGGGGGCGTTCATTAATCAAGTGATCGACTTTTTAAGGATTTCTGGACCCTACCCTCCCTCTTGGTGATATTCAAAATTACCTCCTCTTCCCCTCTTCCAAACATCACGTGTATTTTTAGTTACGAAAAAAAGTGAAATTTTGATTTTTTTTGAAAATGTTTGGATTTCTTTAAATAATTCAGGTAAAAATAAATACACGTGATATCTTACTATACCCCTCCGTCCCCCACGTGATATTTTGTGATTTTTTGCCAAACCCTTCTACCTCTAAAAATCTCACGTGGTTAATGGACTCCACCTAAAGTATAAAATTTCTATTTGGCTTTTCCGATCGTTTTCTTAGTCCAATAGTCAATTAAGGGGGCGTCCATTAATCACGTGAGTTTTTAAGGATTTTTGGACCCCCCCTCCCCCTTAGTGATACATGGTGATATTCACAATTACCCCCCCCCCACAAACATCACATGTATTTTTAGTTACGAGTAAAAATCATAAAATTTTTGAGTATTTTGAGTGTAAGTATTTTTTTGAAATTGTTTGATTTAAAAATAGAATCAGTTAAAAAATAAATACATGTTATATCTTACTATGCTCCTCCCTCCCCACCGAGATATTTCGTGAGTTCTTGTCAAGCCCCCCCTTTCCCTAAAAACCTCACGTGATTAATGGACGCCCCGTAAACAGTATTTTTTCTTCGATTTTCACAACTTTCGATTATTATAAAGGGATGTATATGCGCATCAAAATGTTGGTGTTATCGATGGAGATTTCCAATGACTCCGCTACTGTTGTGTTTCGCTTTTCCACCTTTACTAGTCCCTGCCATGGAAGATCGAAGCATTTGCTAATTCGAAATAAGTAGCACGTGACTGTTTATCTCGGTTAATGCATCCAAGTGCAGGCACGCTATAAAATTATCATGTACTGTATTATCGGATGGCGATTATTCAGCTATATACTATATAGCATCAAGCGTATATATTGACCGTAATGTCTCTCATGATGCCTCTACCATCGAGACGCCACGACATGGATGAATATAATAATAAAATTTAGACGAGTAACATTATTGCGATTTCAATGACAAAATTTTAAATAATTTCAAGGCCTTTAAAAGTATCTCTAAGAAGGGTTTTTGAAAGGATCTAACAAGTCCTGACATCACAGAATTTTAAACTCCTTCTGGCGGCTCCTCCGAAACGGGTTTTCATTAAATTTTGATCAAGATTTTTCTGACCTTATATAAATCTTTAAATGTATCAGCTTCTATCTGCGGAATCAATATAAAAACAATTCTTAGATATTGTCGACGAAATGGTTACCACTGATAATGCATGATGTATCTATCGATCTATCTATATCGATCATCGATCGATTATCGTATAATCCCTGATTCGCAGAATTATCCTATTGTACAAATATTTCCCAATTTGCAGATGAATAATATATATAGTTTTTAAATGGCTTACAGAAAAAGCAAGTTTATCAAAATAAATGTACAAATCGAATATTAACAAATTTATTCTGAAGATAAAGAAGAAGCTATAAAATTTTCCAGAGTTTTTGATATCTCACTCGATTCGCTAAGCATGACACAACATAATTCAAAAATAAATATTCGGATTTTGCTCCGTAATGCAAAAAAATATTAATTAATGAAAACCGCAGTACTAGCAAGATTAATATCTTGAATATCAAAATGTTCCAATGTCCGAGGAACATTTATATATGGCATGCAGTTGCAGTGGGTAAACCATGAATTTAATTTGTGTTAGCTGCCTCTTTCACATATGTGTATACGACATACTTCTACAATCATAATCAATTAATTATCTTTTTTACCAAACATTTTTAGAAATATTATTCGTGACCAAATAACGTTTGCCGGGCCAGCTGCTGTATTTATATACATATTTATATTGATACACATTTAAATTGATAAACAAAGTTGATTTCTTGTTTATTTAGAAATTTATCTCTATACCTTAGGGTGGCCCTTAATATGGACATTTTCGAATTTCCTTGCTCCCAAGGGCTCAAATGGTTCCAAATTGATAAAAAACAATTCTCTGAAAGTTTTAGCTCTTAATATTGTCTTTTAGATAGAGCGCAATTCAATCAAATTTTTGTATGAAAAAATTCAAAATTTTTTATTCGATTTTCAAAATTTTTCCATGCTATTTCCATACGAGGTTTGATTGAATTGCGCACTATCTAAAAGTTAATATTAAGAGCTAAAACTTTCAGAGAACTGTTTTTTATCAATTTGAAACCATTTGAGCTCTTATTGGGAGCAATGAAATTCGAAAATGTCCATATTAAGGACCATCCTAGTGTACCTATATGAAATGAATTACTAAGTAGAATATAAAAATCATCAAAAAGATAGAAGTCCTCTTAAACAATAAATTAATTATGTAGACACAAGTATGTCTTATGGTTCTTGAATGATTGAATACAGTCCACATATATTTAATTCTTCATGCGTGTACATCCACTTCATATGTGTGGAGTTTTTGAGTATGCTAATTTTTTTTTTAAAAATCACAAATATTTCTTTTCATTTTCATGGTTGAAATCAATAACTTTCTCTATCGTGAGACTAAATATAGGTGAATAGTCTGGGCTGCATAAACAGGGTAATAGTACCCAATTCAAATACTTCTAATGCAAAACTCTAAAACGATGAATTTCGTATTCGTGCAATGAAAACAACTGCCGTGCGAGAATTTAGAAACTTCTCATAGCTTAAAAATAAACAAATCAATTTTTTGTTTATTTATACACTTGAAGCTTTCTTTCTTATCTCTATTATCGATTTAATTGGTTATCATTCAAATATATAGCGTGTGAATTTGATTTTATGTTCATAACTACAAAATTTTCTAGAAAGTACATGCATATTTATAGTAAAATAAAATTGTCTACAAATATACTTTTATATATGTATACTTCATCTTTTCAACTTCCTGACGTTCTAAATTTACTCCAACTACATCAATCTCTATGACAATTATTTTTACGCTTTTTTATAAATATGTCTACGCTTTATTTATAACCTTAAGGAATTTCTCTTATTGTTGTGAATAATTGACGATCGTTAATTAACATAATATCATATATTATAATGAAATGAATTTATTAAATGTTTTAAATTATGCATGTTACATCTTAATATGTTTCTTCATACATCGTTATGGTCGCAAGTAATTAGATCATTGGTGTGAGCTGTAACTCTTAATGCGCAACAGTATTTATTGCTCTGCACTTTCATATAGAATTAAATTTTATTGGATCTGAAATATTTCATAATCATAGTTAACTCACGTCAAGTGTATTTTTATTATTCCTATCAATTTCAAAATTAATGGCATACGAATAATTATGAAGTTAATTGTAAGCTTTTGAACACCGACGACTATTGTTATGAAATTTAACATACGACAATGCAGGTTTTACTAAAGCTAAATTTCAGAATCTGCGGAACACGATCAGAATTTAATCATTTAAAAGAAGTGCATTGAAATTATTGATTCATCATAAAATTGCATTAATTTTTCATCTTTAAATTTGTGAAGAATATCAATAATTTTCTGTTGAATCACGAATCATTTGCAATTTTTCTGCAATCAGATTAATCTTCAGAAATTATATGATCAATCGTCATAAGTCCTAAATTAAAAATCTCTTTCTTTTCTATTCGTATATTCAAAAAAATTCCAACAGTTCCGAAAATTAATTCGATTATCTGTAAAAGTCAAATGTAATATAAAAATCAGAAATTCAGAAACTATATGAAATATCAAACATTATAACCAAAATTAAAAATCTTTTTCTCTTCAATTCGTATATTCAGAAAAATCCGACCATTCAAAAAATTAATTGGATAAATTGTGGAAAGCAAATTAAAAACAAATGTTATATAAAAATTACATTTTTAATTATCTTTATTTGTGACCAAACATGTTCATGTTTACAAACGATACTAAAAATTAGCACTACCATTAGAAAAATGACTATGATGTACTTTTATGTAAGCCATGAATTTTTAATTGACTCTATAAAATGTACCATAGTACACTTTTGCTAAGTACTGCAGCAATTTTTATATAAATAAGCTACTCTTTCTATAAATATTTTATTGCAATGATCTGTTAAGCCTTTTAGGATAAAAGTGCGATCAAATCTATGAGAACAAAATATTTTTAGTTCGGATATAGGTCAGAGAGATTACACACAAAAAACAGGGCATCCTAGTTTTTATGAGGCAAAACAAGCTCTTAAACTTCGTTCGAATTTATTGGTATGTATGGATAATACTATTTCTTCATAAATAATAGATTTTAAAAGGATTTTTAATGGATTTTACCAAAATATACAAACTGTAGAACAGGAAAAACCTACTAATATTCATCTTTGTCAAGATGGTTAATAGAACAATTTTATTATAATGCCTTTAGTTGACTTCTATTTTTAATTGCAATTTTAAAAGATACCATAATGAAGATACAAAATATAAAACGTAATTAGATTTTTGTAAGAATTTTTATTGTCATTTGTTTATAGCAGCAAATCAATAGTTGCTATAGATATAATATATTATATCTATAGTTTTCGGACGTATTTTCGTTTTATTATATTGGCCATGAAGGTGACAATCTTCATGGCATTGAGCTTTACACGGGATGGTTACTATCCCTGGTAGAGGGGGTTATCGAAAAGTTTGATGGGACTAATTGTTCACTTCTAAAAGTAAAGTCCGCAAAACAACATGTGTAATAAATGACCAATAAAAATATATGTTCTTTAATTATAACTTAGTAAAAAATCAGTGATTGTAATAAGAACTGGAATAAATACATAAACCATACAAAACAAATCAGTGTTTAATACAGTCCACAGCTACAAGGGTTAAATTATAACCCAACAACCTGAGTTAATCGAAGAGTAGTTTTAATAAATTCCATAACTACATAACGCACATACAAATAGGTTTTTGCAAAAATAACTTATTAATGCCTATATTTATTAACCATTTCCACTCGGATGCCGCCGCTCCGGCGACAAAATACGTGTTAATTCTGCGTTTAGCGAGTGAAAAGTGTTAAAGTTAATTTTGTTGTCTCGAACACTATTTCAATCTTTACTACTATTACTTATAATCCGGCGTAAAGTTTTCTTATACGGTTTATTTAATTAATTGTTGTTCGATTATAGATGTAACTGCACATAAAACTCCGTTATGCAGCGTACTCGCCGACCACCTGACTATAATGCATTGTGCACTCTGATGATTTATATATATTTATAAATTACAGATCGGTACCAGCCTTAAAATCACTTTTAAAAATACATTTTCTCTAATCTCTTGAATAATATGATGTAATAATATATAGTCAATATTTTGTCATCATCATAACACAAAAAAGTACATGGAAGAACATGTTCCTTACGCTTGGTCGCTCATATGGAACAGATCCCTCACCTCACAATTTGGGATAAAGCTATAGACGAAATTAAGCTATATTAGACGAAAAAGCTTTAATGATTTGCATTACATTGTTTTATTTTTTAAAGATTTTTTGGATCTTTATTTTTCTATGATTCATATTAAATATCCTTTGCTGCTAAATATCTTTAGCAATATATCAGAAATCTGAAAGCTTTATGAAGGGTTTGTAAGGTGATTCTGGAGAAGAATATGATAAAAAAAGGTTGATCATTATAATAGCATTTTAAATAAATAAAGAAGTATTACAGAGAGTTAACTAATAGAAAACTCTACTAGATACGATTCTGCGACGAAATGGAAATTAATTTATACCCGTATTGCAAAACGAGTACTTCTGCATGATAAAATAAAGAATATAAATATTCAAAGGATTATAGCGAAGAAGTATGCAGAATTCCAATCTTCATGAGAAAAGAAAACACTTATACTAAATCTTGAATCTTATTATTGGTTATATTTTCTCATCCTTTTAGTCGAGCATGAGACAATCAATATTCTTCGATTTCTTTTTTTTTCATTTTTTAAAATAATTTCTGATTATGTTAATTATTTATAGTCGCAGTATACCAAAATGAAATCATACTTAAGAGACACTATAATCAAAATTATTTAGATATTGACGATAGCTAGAGAATATGCTAATATTACTTTACATGAGAGACATACGCATAATAATTTCATAAAAAATCTTATATCCTTTAGGTAAGAAAAACCATTTTTATTATATAATTATATACACGTTGTAAAACAAGGGAAAGAAAAGAATCTTTGATTTCTGGTGCTCTCACACCATGGTTTTGGGCAGACTGCTACTCATTATTATTATTAAGGTGACCAATTTTTGCTTATGCTAATCTGGGACGTGGGCGGAGGGCTTTGAATTAACAAGATATTTGAGAATACAATAAAAAAACTGTAGTTTTATAATGAAAACTTTATTATTAGATTTAATTTTTGTCAACTTACCTATTGATTTTTGAATAATCGGGACAATCCAGGACAAAAGATCTAGATACGGGACAAATATTTGTTTTAGGAAAAACCTGGGACACAAGTTGGAAATCCGGGACAGTCCCGGCCAAACCGGGACGTATGGTCACCTTATTATTATTATTATTATACACGTTGCGAATAATTTAGTATTAAGTTGCTTTAAATTTTCATTTCATGCCCAAACTTCATATTTTATTAACAACATTTAAATGAATATTCTTTGAATCGTTACGAAACTTAAATAACTGACTATGTGACTGTCAAGCCATTTGAAAACAGCCAATCTTCGTTTCGACATCTATAACATTAATCATATTCGCTTTAAATTTACGATGTGTGAAATTTAAGTTCATCAAGCATGAAATTATACAATGACAACTTAGACATAGTAAGATTTTGAAGTTCATACTTGATGTTTAGATCGCAGTTATGATACTAATTGTAATGTAATAGACACTTATGTATAAATATTATACTCTAATATATGAGTAAGTAATTTTAGAAAGAAAAAAACAAAGATTTATAAATTAATAGTTAATTTCAAACGTTTCGTCATTCAATTTAATGTCATCATCAGTGGATCTAGATGATGACATCTAATTATAAGATTTATGGATTGGTATAGAAACTATAAATATAAGAGAAAAATTAACAGAACAGCAACACTTAACAATAAAAAAAATAGTAAAGGTAATAAAGATAGAAACTAGATAATATATATATATATATATATATATATATATTTGTTATATATAAAATTGATCTTACCTTGTCTCTTGAGTCCACGTGAACTTTGCCGCTGTCCAAGACTCTTATCAAGCCCCTGTCATCGCCTCGTAAGGCAGCCAAGTGCAACTGAACATCCGAACGGGTTTCCTTCTAGAAGAACCAAATAAAAAAAGTTCATATTACGTTAGGAAAATAGTCTAATCAAGTACCGGATCATGTTCTCACTACATTGCATTAATGTATATTAATAAAATTATAACATAAATAATTAATATAGATCAATTCAGTGTTACTATTTCAACCGCCTAAAGTTTTTGATTATTTTTTTATACTTTCTCTTAGAATTATTATTTTTTATACGTTCTATTAGATAGTCATTAAAATATGTTAAAAAAATAATGATAGTTTTTTTTAAATTAATCATCAAACTTTGAAACTTCATGAAATATGAAAAATGTTTGAAAGAAAAATTTTCGTACGAAGCACATTGACTAGAGTTAAAAATTTAGGAAGCTTTTAAGAATGAATGAAAAGTGTAGAAAATTATACCATAAATTATAACTCTTTTAATCCAAATTAAATAAAAAAATCACTTTGTTTTTATCAAAATTTTAATATATTTGTTAATATGATTGGTAATTCAAATTTTTCACTTTATTTCTCAATTTATTTCCCAATTCGATAATTTAGACATCAAACTTTTCTATATAGCAAATAAATAAACTCAATTAGGGGGCGTCCATTAATCACGTGAGCGAGTTTTTAAGAATTTTTGGACCCCTCCCCTGGTGATACATGGTGATATTCAAAATTATCCCCCCTCCCCCACTAAACATCACGTGTATTTTTGTTACGTGATAACACTGTATATTATTTTAATTTTTTTGAAAATGTTTGAATTTTTTTTTTAGAAAAATCAGTTAAAAAATAAATACACTTGATATCTTACTATACCCCTCACTCCCCCACGTGATTTTTCGTGATTTTTTGTCAAACCCCTCCTCCCCCTAAAAACCTCTCGAGATTAATGACGCCTCCTTATTTGAATGATCATTTAAAATTGAATTCTTGTTAATTTGAATACAATCGGCGCACATACCACTAGAAACAAAATGCCTGTTAACAAAACAACTGTGTTTTTCTTTTATGAAAACTAAAAAATGTTAGAAGTATTTTACAATCAGCTGTGATGTTACTTTTCCGCAACCACGTGGATTAGAAGAAATAGAAAAACATAATGATTGTCCTACTTATTTGATATATTTTATAATAGAAGGCAACCCAGTGATAACATATAGGCATAACATAATTAGAACATATTTCTAGCTGATTTGATTAATTGAAAATTAAGTTATAAAAGTTTCATCCTCTGCAATATGTTCTTTTACGTTAAGGGTACGTTTTTTATTTAATTTGAGTTGTTTCAAGCTTGGCATTTAAATGCAACCGTTTTCATTATCGTTAAGTGCACTTTTCCTTAACTGCATTGTCTAAAACAATAAAACTGCATAAATCGCAAGTTATGAAAGCTTTCTTTAATGGTCCGTATAAATAATTATATAAATAAAATCGAGTTTGTATGGCATAATGTAAGAGATCTATCATGGATACAAATCCGTTATTAAAGTTCATTGAAACACATTTCTACATGTTTATTTGCTTATTTTATAACTATTGTCACTATACGATAACTTGAAGTTAATTATTTTAGCTGTTCCTAATGAATAAATATCATATTTAAATAAATGCAAAATAATTTTAAAGTAAATTTTAGGTAATGTGTGGGTTTACAAGACTCATAATTAACGATACTAAGCCTAAGTTAAAACATTTATTGCACATAGAATGTACAATTATTATAGAGTCGATAAAATATATTAATTTTTTTGTATATATTTTCTGTAGAAATTTCTAATTGGACCAAACTAGAATTGTAGTATGGTGCAACTTTCTTCGTCTATGTGTGTAACTTTAGAATCAATCTTGGAAAAATTAATTCTAACTCATAACTCATATTGTAAGAATAAGTATTTTAACATTAGTAAAATATTTTTTCAGAAAGTAAAATTTAATCGGATGTTGCTCTATTTTGCATAATTGCATATACGTGTCCAAAGTAATAAAATAATACACATGTCTGAACTTTCACGTTTGAATATGTTGGAATGATTTTCTATTGTTTTGCTTAAGACGTGCCGCGACCTTATATATCAAGAATAAGAAGAAACAAATTTGACACACATAAGGTGTAAATCAATTATATAAAAGCAATCGTACAATTTTTATTTGTATAAAAAATTCTAGTGCTATTTCTAAGCTTATTCTTCTTCTCTGAATATGTACATATTCGAATGTTTTTTTGAGGTTGAAATTTATTAGTCATATTTTTTTTTATTTTATTTATTTATTTATTTATATATATACATTATTTTTATATCTCAGTCAGACAGAGGTGCCTGGTATGAGAGATTATGAAAAACAGTTTTCATATTAAATTTCATATTTAAGCAGTTTAAGCAGTTGAAGCAGTTAAGCAGTCATATTTTAACAGTTTTCATATTTGAGCAGGCAATGCATCGAATAAAAATAATAAATGATATTATTTATATGTAGTAGTTTCGACACTAGATGTGTGACATCATTCGTTCAAAATACAATAATTCCATACTGTATAAAATAATAATAAATAAACTCGAAATGGAAAAAATGTCTCGATGAGAAGAGCTTTGTAAATCTTTTCATTTATTTTGATTATTTTAATACTTATTAAAGAAGTCGTTGTGATATTGATTGATGTATCACATTTTTTGTGTTTTTTCAAATTATTTGTATGCACTGAAGATGGGTCAAAACAGGACCCGAAACATATGACAATAAAGACATTTTTCTTCACTAAAATTGTTTTAATTATTGGATGGATGCCCAAGAAACAACTTTATTATAATATTTCACCATCTGGTTTATTTCACCAAGATTTTTTATTTGAAAAAAAATGAATAGTATTATTTCGGATGGAAATGTAAAAATATAAAAAAGTGTTACAAATAAAAACCAAAGCATACAATTTGCATGTTTAATATTGTTTAAGTAGGAACATTTTGCATAAAAATCACATAATCACATAAAATCTTTGAGGAAAAAATAAAATCTCTAGACTTTAAACTCTAGTCTTACTGTTTTTTTATGGAATTAATCATAGATAAAAGAAGAGTATATATGGAATTAATTCATAAATTGAAATTTTCTAACTTTAATATTAGCATTAAAATGAATTCAATGATTTTATATTCATAAAAATGTTTGCAATATAAAATTATCTATCCATGTAAAAAATTCAGTTTGTACTATCTAAAACAACATTGATTAGTAGTATTATTAGAAAATAAAAATACTTTTGCGATATAATAACATAATAATTCTGCAATTTTTGAAATTCGTATTTTAAACATATTAATATCAATAAAACAATATTTTTCTGACAAAGTTTTAAATAATTTTTTTGCATCCAAAATTATGGACGTATATTTTGCAAGTGTAACCCTTTCCACTCGCGAATTGCGAAATTTATATGTATTTTTCTGGAGGCATCCGAGTGGAAAGGGTTAAAACTAGATATTTGGATCATTAATTTAGAAGACTTATTCGAAAATAACAGATATGCTAAAAAAGATAAAAATAATGCAATAATCTAATTTAAATTTTGAATGCATTTTCAAAAATTCGTATTTTTGAAAAATATTGTGGTATATTTACAAATATCGATAACTCCCACCTGTCATAATAGTAAACAAGAGCAAAACAAACAAGAGACATTGCTGTCATAAAGTAGAGTAATAAAGATCGAGAAAATAATCTTAAATAGAAAAAAGTGTAAGAAATAATAATAATATATATTTAAATTAACAAAATCTTTTAATACAATTTATATTAATTAAATTATAAAATCATTTTCTTACCTTTATAGACATAGTTTTGCATTTAAATAGAGAACATGAGGCGGCAATCAGTTTCTGTATTTTTGCACATTATAATACATGCTCTATAACTAAAAACTTAACATTTTACTAAACATTGTCGACGAAAAATCTTAATAAAAAGAAATCTTTCGTCAAATATTTCAATGAATCATGTTGCAAACTTCTAAATCATTTACATCGTATAATACTAAATTGTTGTAAGCTTTCGTAAACTATATTATAAATAAAATGAAGAGCATCACGTGTCGCTCGCCTTGAACGTCAAGCTGAGCAATACTAACGTGAACAACATATGATACACAACATTTGCAGAATGTTATGCTTTGCCCATTTTTGTAGAGGTATTACATCATATCTGTAAATATTTATTTGGATTCTTATTTGGTTATACTGCTTTTGATTTGTTTTGGTGTCTCAAAAAAGAATGTTTTGATCCCATCGCTATATTTTCATAAGTTATTATTGATTTTAAGCGTTCGTAATTGGAGCAAGTCCTAAATAAGGGGCTCCATCTGTAGAAGCATATGGTGGAAATGTAGAGTACCAAACAGACGTAAATGATTTGCTTATAAATTAAAAATTTATAAAAATAAGCATAAACTACTTATAATTTTAATTAGTACTATAAATTATCAAATTCAGATCCAAGCAAATTATAAGCAAATTTTTTTACGGTTGTCCAAACTGTATTTTTTCAAAATTACGATTCGTGTGAACTAGCGGCGCCATCTTCACGTATCTTTTTGGACCATATGACATATTTTATTTCCATTGTTGGCACAACTGCTATCGGTCATCTTACAGTCGGTCTTTGCCTTAAAAACTTCCTTCTTGTGAAAGCTGCTTAAGTGTGAGCATGTAATTTATTATATTTTGTTATTTTGAAGTTATTATAGTGCGTTCGTCAATATCTAATTTTTCTATTTATAGTTTCAGATTAAACAAAAATGGAAAACGACGCCGGAGAATTTGTTGACTTGTACTGCCCGAGGAAATGGTAAGTCCACGTGCCGTCAATTGTTTATAGTGATTAAGCAAGTTAGTTTTTAATTTGATACAAATCAATATAAAAGCAAGTATCATTTTCGAGTTCTGATTTCTATTTGGCTTTGGTAGCACTACACTGGTTATGATGTGCATATTATAAATTTTCTAACCTCACTTTTTAGCTCGGCCAGCAATCGTATTATTCACGCCAAAGACCACGCTTCCATCCAATTAAACATTGCCGAAGTTGACCCCACAACCGGCCGTATGACAGATACAAGTAAAATGTATGCTATTTGCGGAGCAATCAGAAGGATGGGTGAATCTGATGACTGTATCGGTCGTTTGGCTAAGAAGGACGGTATTGTTGCAAAGTGAGTAATTTGTTTCTGATAAATTTACCTTAGTCCGTTTGTTATTCATTCTATGAGCTACTAGTATTTTCGACCATTCGACGGTCATTCCTACTTTTTAGCTCTTTAATTTATAATGGTCTCAGGGTGCAATTTTGATAATTGTGCTAATTGCCCATCTTTTCTCTTATTTTGTTCACTAGATATTTATGGCGAACCTGCTAAGTTTTAACTTATTGTGGTCTAAACTCCAACATTGGTTAATGTGGTAATTGATTATCTTTTCTCTTATTTTGCTACGAGAGAAATTGCCTGTGAATATAATTAGATTCAGTGTGTTTAGTTAGTTCTAATGTGGATTAGCAATTCCGCATTATGAATTTGTTGTATTCATTCTATGAGCCACTAGTATTTTCAACCATTTGACAGTCATTCTTACTTCCGTCCATGCCAAAAATTTTAATGGAATGACGTTTTATGATGCGATAGTACACATATTATAAAAAATCATTTAAATTGTCATGCTGCTGTTTTTGTTCACTGGATATTTAGGACAAACCTCCTGGTAGCTTTTTAATTTATTATGGTCTTGGGTGCAATATTAATAATTGTATTGGTATTGTGCTAATTGTCCATCTTTTCTCTTATTTCTTTCACTGGATATTTATGACAAACCTCCTGGAAGCTTTTTAATTTATGGTCTCGGGTGCAAAATTTGTTAATGCACTAATTGACAATCTTTTTTCTCTTATTTTACTAGGAGTGAAATTGCCTGTGAATATAATTAGATTCTTTTGATGTTTCAGATAAATTTAGTATGTTTAGTAGGTTCTAACATGGATTAGTAAAGTAATCATTTTAATATCAGTATTACTTTTCATATTCTTGCAATCATCGCATTCAAATTTTCCTAATAATGTAATATGTATGCATATTTACTGTAATTTCAATTCATTATATTGGTTTTTGTTTTTTTGTTTCAGGAACTTCTAAGGATTTATGACTTAAGAATTATTACAATATGTGATTTGTATTTATGATTAAGTGAATAAACTAAGGAAGTGACATCTCTTTTTAATTCGAATTTTTAATTTAATGTGTAAATTTTTCATATAATTAAAATTATTAACAACTACTTTAGCATTTTGAGCTTCAGTAATTAATATTTTTGTACCATTTATTCGGTACCTTTAATAAAAATAAATTAAAATTTTAATTGCATCAAACGAAATAATGATTTTTGTATCTGAGAACCAGTTTAAATTAATGGTGAAATAGTTTTTGATAAATATTCTGAAAAACTGCCTAATATATTTTGTTCCGCAATAACATGGATTTCATGACAAATTAGTTTTACAAATGTTAATGAATAATCGAAAAAGCAACTAAACAATTGTTTCCACTAAAGATATTTGATGTTCAGGTGGTACATCCGCAAAAGCAAGCAAAAACTTAGGTAAAAGTTACAAATTTTGTTTAAAAATATATTGCTTACTATGAATTAATTTTTTTAAGTGAATATAATTCATTGTGCAGTTTTTTACTATCCGTAATTTGCCAAAACAAGTTTGGTAAAGACTATGCATATTTCTAAATTATTTTGTGAGATACAGCAATTATTACAGTTTATACATTCTGATAGAATATTTGAAGTCACTTTAAGTTTTGTATTTTCAAGTTTCACAACCTTGCCATATCAAACTTCCTAATAACTTTTTCAGTTTCACTTTTGGACACCATGTTTATAATACATGGTGTTACTTTCTCATTAGAATTTTGTGGCATACTGAATCATTTGTTTTTGTGTTCCATGTGGTGATTGTGTAGTAATAAGTGATTGGGTTTTTGGAAATGAATGAAGAATAACTATTCTCTTCTACTAAAGCCGTGTTACATTGATGCGATACATAACAGCAAGAAAAATGTAAGTAATCAAATGTACGAATTTAATATTTTCATATTACAAGAACATGATTTTTTATGCATTTTGTCATTATCCCAATATTTACAAAAATATGTTTCTTGAAGAATATGTATATTATCAAAATTAATTTTGAATTATGTGATATTTGTTATGATACGATCAAATATTCCTGATACATGATGTCAAATCATCATGATGAATCGAGTTCTTGATACATTGTAGGTAGATCCATTGTGGTACCGTTGTACTCCTCATGACAATCATATTATTTTTACCCTAAATACGCAAATTCATTCAATTATTCGTTTTATTTTTGTTATAGTTTTACCACAAGTGCGATAGATATAAATCTTTTTAAGAAATGAACAAAAACGTTTTATTCGGTATATTGCGAGCTGTGGGCGCAATTTCTAGAAGTCGTGATCGTTAATACCTATGTGACCACAAAGTACTATATTACATACGAGAACGTACATAAAATAACCGAAGTAATTAAATACACATCGTGGAATTTTAATATTGGTACATTTTTCGAGTTTGTATGCAATTTCGGGCGAATGTCGAAAGGCAATCCAAAGGGGTTATCTTGAATTCGTGGCGATACTGGATGTCGGACGATACCAGGAATTTGTAATAATGCTTCCTTAAAAAATAGCCTCTGATAACGATGCATTAGATGCATAATTGCATTTTGTTTGTGTGAAACAACATTGCTTTTTATCTCTTCAAAATTAATATGGATTAGTGGTATCGTGGTGTTTCACATGTTGATAGTTCCATTTGACTTATAGGTGTATAAAGTGTAGGAATGGTGAGGTCTTGAGTGTAATGATTTTTTGTTAAGTCAAATATCAATGTTTGGTTTTGGGTGTAGTTGCGCACTTTCAGAATTATAAATTATATAAGATGTGTGTAGTGTATTCAGTTCAGTGGCAAATGAATATTCACGTATTTCAGATATATATTGTTTTGGTTTTGTTGCGTAATTTGCACATTGTCATGGAAATACTAATAACAAATCGGTAAGTGATAAGAATTTATTAACGATTATTTAATAGACCTATCGAACTCAGGATTTGAATGATACTAGATATACTGATTTTGCAGTAATGTTTCTTTTTTTTTTGTATGCGAGAAGAATTTTATTGCTTAAATTACCAATAATGTAATTTATTGCAAGTTTATGTTATGAATAAGAGCGTCTGTTTCCTTTAGATTGACCAGACTCACGCATCTGTGTATTTTTGAATTTTATTCTGTATAAAATTGTTTCATTTTTTACAAAAATTTTGATTTTTGGCCTATATTTCCATGAAATAAACCAAATAAATGTTGAAAATTGTAGCATTTGTACAAAAGTTATACATTATTTTCTATTACTCCAATTTCAGAGGGTATTTATTCTTGGCATTTTTCGCATATATAGCGAAAAAATGTATTGCACTAAAATGGTTAAAAAAAGTCAATGTATATCCCTTAGTATTTACCTTTCTCACATGCACAACAAAACGTCTGTACGATGTTTTTGAATTATGTATAAGGCTATAAGATGATGATTTTTTTTTTAATTTCAAATCCAGGGCAGTTTGTATTAAAATTTTATTGAAAATGAGCATAATACTTTTTATATTTTTGATTTATGTTTTTTCTTCATAATTAAATTTTTTTCATTGAATTAGCTTTAGTAAAATGTATCGCTTTTAGTGCATTGTTTTGAAGTCGTCGTGCCTTGCCTAAAGACATACAAACGGGCAAACAAACTGTTTTCCTCAGTTTTGTGCTAAATATTATAAATGGGAAATTGAATGTTGAAGTGAGACTATTTTTACCCATTTTTAGATTTTTGCATTCAACATTTTTCTCTTTTGTATCGTTTGGTTATATTATATATAAATTCTTCTATATATATATATATATATATATATATATATATATATATATATATATATATATATGATTTTAAGATATTTTAAGGAGTGATATAATTTTATTAACAAGTAAAAGCAATTTCAGAATTATAAATTATATAGGATATGTGTGTAGTACTGTAGTGTATTCAGTTCAGTGGCAAATGAACATACACAAATCAATTTAAAAACTTGTATTTCAGATATATTTTGTTTTGGTTTTGGCTTCTCAAATTCGGGACAATCTGGGACAAACCCGAATCAGGGCTGAATGATGCTTCTAGAAAAACCCGGGTATGGTCACCTTAATTATGTATGCATATGAATGCGCACTCTCTGTTCATGACAAGACCAATTCTTTGTTTACGTTGTATGGAGTAAATTAAAACATACACACACACACACACACATATATATATATATATATATATAAATAATAAATAATGGGTGTACTGCCCTAGGGCAGGCCCGTGAGCTGAGTTAAAACTCCAACTCGAATTAGGAAAGAATAGTGTGAGAGATTTCTCAGTGCCATTTCACACCGCAGTGCTCGAGATGGGCTTATTTTTAATTGGAAACATATTTTGATCTATATTTTCAATTGAAAATGAGCATCGCGCTGCCCGATGTCAGATTGCCAAAGCAGGGAATCGAATGCGCGGCCCTGTCTATACAAAGTCAACGCGTTAACGACCTTCGCTACCACACACACACACATATATATATATATATATATATATATATATATATATTGTTTTTATTTATTAAAATATATGTTTTTACATTCTTGCATACTACATAACAGTCAGGCAGTTTTTTTTGTCAATCAAAACTTTATTAGAGTATCAGGCAGATGGATGGTGTAAGAGTTCACAGTGTAATAAGTAATAGTTGATTTAATTCATAATAGTCGATTATCTTGATACATTTAATAATTATATAGACAATATATTTCGAAATAAAATAATATCCATTATTATTCATAGGGAGACAAACAGAACTATAAATAAATTGTCAGTACGTTTTATAACATTTAAATTGAAAAATATATTTTTAACCTTGACCATACTATTTGATTTTGATTATGTTTTTAATAAACTATATTAAAGTATTCATAATTATTGCATTTCAAAAAGGATTATTAAGATCGATCAAGTTTTTTTCAATCGAGGCTGCATTGCGTGAATTATTGTA